CCACGTTTCTTATTTTTATCACTTGGCCTTTGCTTGCTAACTGATGGAACCCCTAGCAGAAGAACTACACGGGCTGAGTAAATCAAACGGATCCCTTTCTTCGACTAGGCAAAAATCTGTATGAACAATCAGGTGAATATGATTGTGTAGGCCAATGTACTCATTTCACGCTGAAGAAGCTGGAAGGACGAAAAAAAAAAAAAAAAAAAAAAAAAAAAAAAGGAGAAGAAGGAGAAGAAGAAGACGAAGAAGAAGACGAAGAAGAAGACGAAGAAGAAGACGAAGAAGAAGACGAAGAAGAAGACGAAGAAGAAGACGAAGAAGAAGACGAAGAAGAAGACGAAGAAGAAGACGAATAAAAAGACGAAGAAGAAGACGAAGAACCAAGACGAAACATGCAAAGGGTAAAGAAAATTCCCCTTTTGGAAAAACCAAATGTAAAAGAAATTGATAGGAACATTGAAACCAGCGGATTGGTACTATGTCTTACACTCACTGAAAAAGAAACCATATCACTTGTTTCTCCATCCTATTATTACCTATATGTTCAGAGGTATATGTACTTACCTAACATAATTCCAAAGTGTTTGGAATATTTTAAATCTTTTATTTTTCCATTTTACGGGCACAAATTCTGGGTATACTTTGAATGTATCCAAAACAAGAAATGTCCACCAAAGCATGTTAATTCGAGCGTAAGAAGAGAAAATACTAATGGTACTTATTCAGAAACACAACACTATCTGCATAATAACAAATCTAGAGCTAGTCGTCAATCCGATAAGGAATGTCCCAACTTAGCTACTTCCCCAAAGAGCTTCGAACCAGAAGAAGCACAATATGACAAAATTATACTAGACTGGAGATTACCTATAGGAGTACTATTCGATATCTACTGTAATACAGAGGATGAGGAAAATATGTTATCTAATATTGAAGAAGAACATGGAACAAATTGGAAGAAATGCACAAATAGTGAACTATACCCTGACTATGTTAACATTTTAGAAATTCCTTCAAACCAGTTACATGATTCAGATGTTGAAAAAAAACAACATCAGTTGAATGACAAAAATGAGGAGAAGTATGTAGAGGCAAGTGGAGGAAACGCCACTGCTGAAATTGGCCCATTAGGTGGTGATTTTATGGAAAAACGTAAAGAAAAACCGAGAGACATTACACCTGAACATGCATGTGAACAGTTAGGGAGCAAACAAATGGGCAACAAAACCACAAATGGCACAAATTATTACAAACTACGGATTAACAAAAAAATCAACAACGAATGGTATGAAAAACAATTTTTAAAGATAGCAAATAATAACATCCCATGGAAGCTGATAATTCATTTCAAGGAAGAACATGAATATTATGCTCATTTCAATCGTGGAACGAAAAATAATTATAATGGAAATATCAACCTCCTGCCTTATAACAGCTGCATACCTATATATAGAGGATTTAACGACTTTGAAGAGTACATGACCGGTCAGCTTAAAAAGGCGAATTATGTGTACAATAAAAGTAATAGGATACTTCAAATGTTACCACAACATATTGAAAATGAATTTATTCATTATTTGAAAAACTTTAATGTCGAAAAGATTTGTATCCTTTACAGAGAATATATAGATTACAACATGGTTAGATTTGTAGATTACTTTAATCGTGAATTTGCTGAAAAGGTAAATTCGCTTATTGGTACATGTCCTAGTGATCAATGTAAAGGGCACAAGAGCAAAGAGGGAAATATGCACAAGTTGAAAAGAAAATCAGTACCTAGTGTGAGGGACGGAGAATCGCACGAATCTACACAACTGGATTCTCGAAGTAAGGACTTTCGAAGTAAGGACTTTGATCAGAGTGAGAGAACTGCCCCGGAGAGTATTCATTTTGAGAAGAAAAAAAATGAAAGCGAAAATGAGAGCGAAAATGAATGCGAAAATGAGAGCGAAAATGAGAGCGAAAATGAGAGCGAAAATGAAAGCGAAAATGAAAGCGAAAATGAAAGCGAAAATGAAAACGAAAATGAAAACGAAAACTTGGTGAACCCCCCAGAGCAGTGTAATAATTATAAGGGAAAATACAATAGCATATATGAAATTATGAAAAACGATAAAGTGCTTAAGGATGTGCCGATAATTGTGCATATCTATGGTCCTCCATATAACCAAGTGATGACAAAATATCCCTTGTTTAAGATTGTCCATGGTGAAAATGGTGCAAGGGATAAAAGTGATAGAAGTGATAAAAGTGATAGAAGTGATAAAAGTGATAGAAGTGATAAAAGCCATAGAAGTGATAAAAGCGATAAAAGCGATAAAAATGATAAAAGCGATAAAAATGATAAAAGCGATAAAAGCGATAAAAGCGATAAAAGCGATAAAAGCGATAAAAGCGATAAAAATGATAAAAGCGATAAAAGTGATAAAAGTGAAATTGAAAATTTTTCCATTCACACATTAGGAGATTTTCTACATGATCAATTCCCGTCTATTTTTAAAAAAATAAAAAAACGCACAACAGTGGGAAAAAGTCTAACTGTGACCAATAAACTGGACAACCAAAAGTTAAATGAACAAGCACAGGGAAATCACCACATTGTACATGACAAAACAGTAACAATGCCACTTACAACTCATCTGAACGAAGAAAATGTATTTTATTTTGTTGAAGATGATTATTTAATTTTCAGCCCCTATATGTTCATAATAATTAACGGAATCCAAATTCCACTGAAAACTCCACTTTACTGGCTTGTCAATAACTTTTCCCAATTTGACAACTTCTTACACGTTATTCTACGTATTCCATCCTACTGAAATGTTTCTCACATTTGTCAAAATTTAGTTGTAGCGGTAGTTATATCTATAGTTACAGCTATCGTTATAGCTATACCTATATAGGTGTCTTTTTTTTTTTTTTTTTCTTTTGGGGAGGATGATGAAATGAAATAGGAAAATGGCGATAAAATATTTTCTTTCTGTAGATTCTTATTGAAAGATCAAATTGACGAATAAGCCAAAAGAGCGACACACATCCAAAGCTGTTAAAAACGGAGAAATTACACGTGTGAGGATAATATATATGATAATGTGATTTTTTCATCAGCTAGCTAATGTGCATGCATATGTATGAACGTGTACATGTTTTTTTTTTTTTTTTTTTTTTTTTTTTTTAAAACAATTTTTGAACAAATTTTCCTTATTTTACCTCTTTTTTCCACCTTTTGGAGTTACAAAAAAAAAAAAAAAAAAAAAAAAAGACAACCCATTCTACATTTAAGATCGGTTCGAACAGCACTTGTGTGTATGTTCATATATTTTCTTTTTTTTCACCTTACCAGTGCAAAAAGTGAAAAAAAAAAAAAAAAAAAAAAAAAAAAAAGTGATACCCATTTAGACATGCTTACATGTATGTATTAACCATTTCTGAAAAAGGAAAAACTTCCAAAAAGGAAGATATGTTAAGAGGATTTTCAAAAAATAAAGGACACGTTAGTAGGATTTCCAAAAAAAAAAGGAAGACGAACAACTAAGGTCTTGTACGTCTTCCCCGCATAGGGATACAGCAATGATTAGGCTTAAAAAAAAAAAAAAAACTTTTGCATTACACGTTTATGGAGAATGTTTAATTCTAATTATTTTATTATTTTTTTTTTTTTACTTTATTATTTTTTTTACTTCATTATTTTTTTTTACTTCCTTATTTATTTTACTTCCTTATTTTTTTTACTTCCTTATTTATTTTACTTCCTTATTTTTTTTACTTCCTTATTTTTTTTACTTCCTTATTTTTTTTACTTCCTTATTTTTTTTACTTCCTTATTTTTTTTACTTCCTTATTTTTTTTACTTCCTTATTTTTTTTACTTCCTTATTTTTTTTACTTCCTTATTTTTTTCAGGAGAGCACATTTTGCATGAGGTGTAAGGTCAAGATGTGTGAGCGGTTATACAGGAAAATAAAAGAATTTGAATGTGAATCGAACATGTACATATCAAACAACAAAGTACTTTTCGAAAGTATACATAAATTGATGAAAGAAGGAATACCTGTAATCCCCAGCGCGTACTACATAAACGATAAAGAAGTTGTAGACAGAGAAACGAACAGATATGTTCTAACGAAATATATTTACGATGTAGATGATATTATATACAAAGTTGAAGCACATTCTAAGATAAAAGTTGAAAAGGAAACTAATTTAAGAGTAAAATTTCTAGATCAAGTATATTTAAAAGATAATGAAGTGGAAGACATTTATAAAGACGATAAATATAATATACTAGATTCGATACAAATATACGTGTCTCATAACCATTTTGAAAATTTATGGAATGAAAACACGATGCAATATTTCCTCAGTTGTTATCATGATGAACACAATTTCAAAATACACACGCATATACTTGAAAAAGAAGAATTTGGGTATGATTTACAAATAGAATTATATGAAATTCCAAAAACTCCAGAAAAAATATATCTTGTTGCAAATCATTTATCAAAAATTAGAGAAGCTTTGCAATGTGGCACTTTGATGCATTTTTTCCTTACAAAAGCTCATCTTCAGGAAAATTCTTTTGTTAAATTTATTATTCGAAGAAATGAAGTTATATATCTTTTAAAGAAAAATGATTACATTTTAGTTGTTCTTTCTGCACATTACCCGGACATACATGACAAGTACATTGTTTTGGGTCTGTGCAAAAATATTCATGCCACAACCAAATCAATGGATTTGCATGGAAACTTGGATTTCTCTTTTTATGCAGATTTTCCATCTCACTTGGTATCATCGGATTTTTTTGTTTATGATAGCAGCGACGAGGGTAACTATGACAAGCCGTCTATCGATGCAGTATCGGAAGGAGTAGACAAAACAGATGTAGATAAAGATGTAGATGTAGATAAAGATGTAGATGTAGATAAAGATGTAGATGAAGATGTAGATGTAGATGAAGATGAGGATGAAGAGGCGATCCAATCGGAAGAACATGGAGGGGTGGCCAATTCAAATTTGCATCTTCCAAATGGCCACTCAGGTTATGAGGATGATACAGATCGTCATGATGCATCTAGGAAAAGGAAAGATATTACAGAACACCCAGAGGAAGAAATTAACGGAAGGGGCGTTCCGAATGTCGGATTTGTAGCTATCAAAATGGACTCTAAATTATTCAGTGGGTGTAAAGATTTCACAGAGTTGATTCAGATATCCAGTAGAGTCTCTCACATTATTGTTTCTTTTCGAGATTTTCTGAACAATGCTTTGGTGCTCTACCGAATGAGAACCCGCAGGGCCGTCTGAAGTGTTTTCACGTGATCGAGGTGGGTCAAAAAGGGAATACCAAGTGGGTGATGTGTTTGTGTGAGAGGGGTAATGAGAGGGGTAGTGAGAAAGGTAGAAAGAGATGTCGTGAGAGAGATCGTGAGAGTGATCGATCAAGAGAGAATTTTTTTTTTCTTCTCCTTTTCATTTCGTCCTTTTTTGTACCTTTGTATGCATGAAACATGTCTCATGCGATAAACTAGGTGACATAATAAATGACTTTCACGATCATATCGATTTTGTTATTATTAGATCGACTTTGGGTATGCAAGGGTGGTGAAATGAATGTTTGTGCCAATATGGATATAAAACTTTTATCGCTACATGGCACTGTCCCTACGGTTCGCCCTATTTTTTTTTTTTTTTTTTTTTTCTTCTCTTACTGTTTTAAAAATATTGAACCCGTCTCTGAAGGGACACCCAAAAAAAATATTTCCCTCAATTTTAAGATTCGACTACCTTGTTTAGCCAAAAATTTAGACGAAAATGAAAAGTGGTTATTTTTTTAAGTTCCGCTGTATTCTCCTTCGTGTACAATCCTTGGTCATTCATATTTATTGCTATATTTTACTTCATCTTATTTTACTTCATCTTATTTTACTTCATCTTATCTTATTTTATTTATTTATATTTTTTTTTCGATTCACTTCATTTCCATTTCTCGTGTGTAACTTGTTGATAAAAATTCGACAGGTGTGGGGAAATGTTCGTTTGGGGGAGTATCTTCCACTCTCTCTACCCTTAAAAAAATGTGTACATAGAAGTACATAGAGACATGCATCCATGCAGTGTCTTCACCTGTATGTCATTGCCATTTTCTTAAACATAATTATAAATTGGATAAATAAATGCCTTGGATACATAAAGCGTGAGTCCCTTCCCCCAAGATGTACATTTGCATGGAGATGTGGAGAAAATAACTGGCACGAACTGATAAACTTAATTCTCGATTTCTAAACCGACAGGACCCCCAGTATATTAATTTTTTTTTTTTTTTTTTTTTTTTTTTTTTTTTTTTTTTTGTTTGCGACACATAAAAAAGACTTCCACATACTCACCCTACTTTTTCATCTGCTTTCTTTCTCTAAACGCAAAGTACTTGTAGGAATAAAATATAAACAATTTAAATTCTGAAAAGGGATCTTTCTTAGTGTCAATGTAATGCTTCTGTGTTATTTCAGGTAAAACGTTGTTTATAAGGACCTTTCCCTCGGAAGTGAGTAAAAAGAAAGAAAGCAAAATAAACACGTTTGCAAAATGTTTGCAAAATGTTTGCAAAATGTTTGCAAAATATTTGTACAATGTTTGTACAGTGTTGGCACAATGTTTGCACAATGTTTGTACAATGTTTATATAGCATTTTTTTCCGTTAGCCATGGAAAATCTTCAAATAGCTAGCTGGAACGTGAATGGGTGGAAGAAAAGCTGTGAGTTAATAAAAAGTAAAGAGATAACAGTGGCGGAATTTTTGAGAAAATTAAGTATTGACATCCTGTGCTTACAAGAAACCAAAACAAACGATGCATTTATTGAAAATGAATTCACCTTGCTAGATGCATACTCAGATAAATATGAATCCTATTGGACATGTTGTCAAAAAAGAAATGGAGAAAAATTACACAGGGGGTATTCAGGGCTTGCAACATATGTAGGAAATAAGGCAAAGATTATTTGCTGCTCTAGTGAGCCATTTCGAAATTTTTTCTTTCACATGAATAACATTTCAGAGAGTAATCGCCTCATCCAGAGAGACTTTCCATTGAATAATTCATCCATCTGTTTTTATTTTGTTAATGAAGAAGATGTAATGATTAGTGAAAAGATGAAAGAGAGTTCAGGGGAAGGTAGTAATAGTACCTCTAAAGAAAAATGGTCTGAAAAGTTTCTAGGGGTAAAGAAAATATCTCCACAATGTGTTGGAGAATTCTTTAATGAAGGAAGAATGTTAGTAACAATACATAAAAAATTCGTATTGATTAATATATATGCACCATATTCTGGATGTAATTACAACAGATTGGATTACAAAATGAGATTTCTTCATGCTGTTCGATGCAAAATGATTCAGTTAAGAATAACCACAGGTTTACCAATAATTTTGGTGGGAGATATGAATATATCATATCGAAACAGAGATGTGCATTACGTAAATAATATAATAAATTTGGATGAGTTACAGAAATATATGAACAAGGTCAGCATAAATGAGGAATTAAAAAAGAACATATGCAAAAAGCTACCTCTTATCATTGATACGCTACAAAAAAAAGACAATTTCATTATTAAAAAACGGAAAACAAAAAACAGTGAATCATTTCATTTTTATTTAAATTTTAATGGAGATATTAAAAAAGTAGGTACTAATTTTAGTTCTGAGGAGGAAATTTTTTTTTTTTTTTCTCTAGACCCAATGTATGTACAAGATAAGTATGCGGAGACCTACCCAAATGACTTTTTTTTTTTTCTGAACTGTTCAGGTGAAAAAACAGAAAACTCGGAAAAAAATAACCACTATCAGAAAAATATCATTCTTTTCAGTAAACCTCAATGTAGCAATATTCCAAATTCATATATTTCTAATACAGAATGTGACTATGCGCATGATGCTACACATTCGAATGAATGCAAAAAGGACATTACTAGAAATATCTTAAATGAAAATAACAGCCATTCTATTCCAGATCATAATTGTAACAATAGCGCGATGAAGAAAATGTTTGAATTGTTCACAAAAGAAAATGAACAAATATGTAAGCATTTTTGGAATAATGAAAATTCAGAAATAGAAAAATATCTTGAAAAGGAAGAAAATAACATTACATATAATTCCAAGATGAAAAACAAAATTCAAGAGTCTAAAAAAATTCTATGCAAATATACATTTAAAAGTTGTGTTAAAGGTAAATACAAAGTTAAGGATGCAAATTGTCTATATTTAAAACATTTAAATGATATTTTTACAGCATTAAATATAAACTTATCAAAAGAGGATCTATTCAATATTGCTAATACTCTTGGTTATTCTTCCTCTCCTCAATGCTGTACTAATTTTTTAAAAAATTTAATATATGAAGATCAAATGATAGACACATTCTCCTATTTATATTCATCTCTAAACGGAAAATTCACCTGTTGGGATATGTATAAACAGTACAGAATAACTAATGAAGGTTCGCGCATCGATTATATATTTATTGACTTCATATTGTATGAACGGTTCATAAAGGACCATTCTCAGTTGTATAAATCTCCCATTCTTATTACTGATGAATTGCAACATTGGTTACAGAGAGACAGTGAAACAAAAGAACATAAGCATGACATCAAACCTGTGGACATAAGTACAAATTACGATTTGATAAATTCTTTTGGAAATAATTGTAAGTATGCAAACTATTTTAGTATGTTGAAAAAGCAAAACAAAACAGATAGAAATGGAAATAGTAATAGAAGTACCATAGATGATGAAACGATATACAGAAATGAAGAAGAAATTTACAACTTCCAGTTTATGCTTCGAAGTTATATTGGTTTTATTTACACATCCCCTAGATTAAGTGATCATATTGCAGTGAATTGTACTTTTCACATAAAGAATGAATTAAATGGAAATAATAATAAAAAAAGAGACATAAGCATATGCTGCTCGGGGGATGCTGCTTCCATCATACCTCTACGCACTTTATGTAAATCTTCAGATCTGTATGATGCTTGTCTTCCACTATACTTAGTCAGTACATCTCTTTTTTCTCGATTATCATTCGATTTTTTAAATCCCGTTCATGCACATGGTGGTATATGTCAAAGTGTCGCTCGGGCACAACCACATAAAAGAACAAGGAAAATAACTCAATATTTCACCACAAAAAGTAGGTCCATGGACCACGTAAAACAGGGAAGAGGCTAATGTACACACGTGCATATATACACACATGGATACATGCATACATACATATATACACACATACACACCATACGTACATCACTTTTTGGAGAGAAAAATGGAAAAAGAAAGTGTACCTTTTTGGTAGCCATTTTTCCACTAATCGGAGTGTGGTAGTAGTACACTACCTCGTGCAGCTTGTTTTTATATGAAGAGATACAATTTTTTTTTTTTTTACAGCTTCTATGATATGCTACTCTCTTTCGCTTTCTCTCTTTCGACCTGAAAAAACATATTAGATGTTGGAATTGGTTCTCCATTCTTCTGTTCTCGATTGGAAAATACATACTAATATCTACCCCTCGAAAATAGAAAAAAAACGAACTGTCAACAAATCCTGTGCAGTGGGCATTTCCCATCAGAACAGATACCCACATGTTGTAAAGCCATGGAGATGCAAAAAAAAAAAAAAAAAAAATGCTAAATAAAACCACAAGCAAAAATAGAAGCAAAACCACAAGCAAAAATAGAAGCAAAACCACAAGCAAAATTAGAAGCAAAACCACAAGCAAAAATAGAAGCAAAACCACAAGCAAAATTAGAAGCAAAACCACAAGCAAAATTAGAAGCAAAACCAAAACTGCTTTGATTCGCCTTTTCTACCCGTACACACTTTTGAAATGCCGAAAATTTCCCATAAACTACATCAGTGCAGTAGGTCGTTGCAAACGTGGTATGCTTTTTCCTCTTTTTTTTTTTTTTTTTTTTTTTTTTCTGTACCTTTATATCATTAAGTTGGGGAAAAAAAAAGAAGAAAAAATTTTTTTTTTAAATTTACACGCATATGTGGGCCAACAATTTCTTCTATGTGGAGAAGTAAAAGGGGGGAAGGAAATATAAGGTTATGGAGGAAAAAAAAAAAAAAAAAAAAAAAAAAAAAATTGGAAAATAAAAACAGCAGAGAAGAATCGGGGAAAGAAAAAAAAACAGAACGAGTCGAACACAACGCTCAGCTTTCGGAACACACAAGGGATTCACAAATTGGCAACCGTGACAATTGTGACTATTGCAGAAAACACAAAAAGGAGGTGCTCTGAATGGCCCCTTCACAACAAAGGAAAACATTTGAAAAATCAACACCGTAAGCAAATTTCTTTTGTAAGCAAACATTTTACGAGAAACTGTTTTCTCCATGTGTACACAAAAGATACACATTTCAATGAGGTGTTAAGAATCAAAAAAAAAAAAAAAAAAAAGAACGACGTATCAGTTTTGAAAGGCCATTTGATCTCGGGAAGAAAGAGCAGCATGATTCTATCTTTGACCACCGTGACCTTTTGGATCCTAACTTCTGGCACCAGAGCACTTTTGAAGGGAAGTCATTTGAAGCATCTTACGCAAGGTAGGTATCTACTCTACGTCCTGTTGTTTTGTCTCATCCCATCGCGTTTCACATTGTACCGTGCATATATACATGTACGATTTGTAGCGAGAAAGGAAATGTGAGAGGGAAAATTACACGCATTCTCATGCAAACATACCTAAACATGGAACTAAACAACTGTTCCTTAAAAAAGGAAAAAAAAAAAAAAAAAAAAAGGCTTACCGTTTTGCATACATATGTTTGTCCACATAATTGTACCGATCCAAACGCAATACCCATTCCTATTCACACACACACTCCTCTACACCGTCTTTTCAATAAAATGAAATGCTGTTCTATAATCTTTCCCCCATTTGTAATTTTTACAAAAATTCGCATAGCAGAGTTTTTATGCTAGTCAGAATTTCCATTTTATTTGTCTTCTCAGGAGAAAATTAATTTTTGAAAATCTGCGGATGGGGATTGTACGAATTTGCATATGCATTTATGTGAACATATATAAGGCATGTAAACTTCACCCCTTTTTTTTTTTTTTTTTTTTTTTTCTCTCTCTCTCTCTCTCTCTCTCTCTGGAAGGTTATATCACCACACAACCGCTTAAAGGATCATTCACGAAGGATACAGGTACTCCAGGTGGAACTTTAATTATGGTCTATAGATGTAGAAAAACACGTCTGATATATTTTTTTTTTTTTTTTTACCCCAATCATATTCCCATGTGTATGTGTGTTTATCTGTTTTTTACTTCAAGGGAGAAATACATTAGAAGATAGTTTCCACTCATCACTTCCCACTTTTCATTCTCCACTCATGCAGGGCGAAACAAATTGCGGAGTTTCACAGACAACTATGGATACAATTTCTCCAAATCGATCGAATCAAAAATTGATGAACTTCACGAAAGAGTAAAACAAAGAAATAAAAACGAGCCAGAATTTTTACAGGCATTTGAAGAAGTGCTAAATTCGCTGAAACCAGTTTTTAAAAAAAATAATGTATATTTGGGAGTGTTGGAAAACATAGCGGAACCAGAGAGAGTAATTCAGTTTAGAGTGCCATGGGTGGATGATAAAGGTGAACATAAAATGAACCGAGGGTTTCGAGTTCAGTACAGTTCAGTGTTAGGACCTTACAAAGGAGGGTTAAGATTTCATCCAAGTGTTAATTTAAGTGTTATAAAATTTCTTGGATTTGAACAAATTTTTAAAAATAGCTTAACAACATTGCCCATGGGAGGAGGAAAAGGAGGATCCGATTTCGACCCCAAAGGAAAATCAGAAAATGAAATTTTAAAGTTTTGTCAATCATTTATGATAAACCTGTTTAGATATATTGGACCGAATACTGATGTTCCTGCAGGTGATATAGGAGTTGGGGGACGTGAAATTGGCTATATGTTTGGGCAATATAAAAAATTAAAAAATGCATTCGAAGGTGTATTAACAGGAAAAAATACAAAATGGGGTGGAAGTAACATACGAGCAGAAGCTACTGGATATGGAGTTGTATATTTTGCAGAAAATGCTTTAGCGAAATATAATGATAATTTAAAAAATAAAACATGTGTAGTTAGTGGAAGTGGGAACGTGGCACAATATTTAGTTCAAAAACTTGTCGAGAAAGGAGCTATCGTTTTAACAATGAGTGATAGTGATGGATATGTTTTGGAACCAAATGGATTTACTACAAAACAGCTAAATTACATTATGGAATTGAAAAATGTGAAAAGAGAAAGACTGAAAGAATATGTTAAATATTCAGATACTGCAAAATATTTCGAAAAACAAAAACCTTGGAATGTCCCATGTAATCTTGTTTTCCCTTGTGCAACACAAAACGAGATTAATCTAACGGATGCTGACTTGTTAATAAAAAATAAATGCAAAATGGTCATTGAAGGTGCTAATATGCCTACGCACATTCAGGCAATGCACAAATTAAAACAAAATGGAATTATCATTTGTCCATCCAAAGCTGCCAATGCTGGTGGAGTAGCAGTGAGTGGACTCGAAATGAGTCAAAATTCTATGAGATTGCAATGGACACCTCAAGAAACAGACCGCAAACTCCAACTCATCATGAAGAACATTTATGACCAGTGCGACTCTGCCTCCCAATTTTACCTGAACGAGTCAGATCTTGTTGCCGGTGCCAACATCGCGGGATTCCTCAAGGTGGCTGACTCGTTCCTGGAACAGGGGGGTTTATAATCATATGTTTTGCGACACTGCCAAGGAGAAGGGGTGAAAATCGAGACTTCATCTAACTAATGAGTAAGTTTTACCTGATCATCAACCAATTTATGGCTAGTCATTTATGAACAGCTTCTTTTTTTTTTTTTTTTTTTTTTTTTTTCGAGCTACAATGCACACAAACTTTTTTGCCTGCACGTTCAGGCAATTACAAGAGTGAAATTTGCTATGGGAAGAAAAATTAGGTGAGGAGCTCATTTCTTTTCAATTCACACCTCTTGTAGGCACACATTTCTGAGAGTTTGTGTGTGTGCGCGCATTTTTTCAAAATGTTTCCTAGCATGAATCAGTCCATTTGTAGATACTTCTTTTTTCGTGCACCTTTTTTCTTTATTTTTATTGGTCCAAAATTTTTCAAAAATATATTTTTACTCATCTCCATCATATGCGCTATAAATTAACACGTGATAGACGTAACTCGACAATAAGTTTTCAAAACCGTTAGTAGAAAGACACTGAAAAAAAAAAAAAAAAAAAAAAAAAAAAAAAAAAAAAACCTTGTAGAAAACAATCAAAACGTTAAAACGGAAAGACTTCTATTTTCTGCCAATTTTGTTTTCAAGGGATAGATAGCGGAAAAATTTATAGAACTCCAAAAAAAAGAGAAAAAAAAAATGACGAAGCGAAAAAAGATGCCCAAAGAGAAGACTCTCCTATCGCGCACGCAAGCCATTGTATCTTCTCCTAAAAGGCTTTCCATATTTTATGGTACATATAAAGATATGCACATGTGCAGGTTAGGGTGATAGGAAGGTGTGCATCCATAGCAAAATTCCCTATAATTTTCATCTAAACCGTTTACTGCATGAAGACCCCCTTTTCCATAAAAGATGACATAGACACAATTTTTCGTCACCCAATTACTTCCTATCTCTTCACTCGGTCACTTCCCATCTCTTCACTCGGTCACTTCCCATCTCTTCAATCGGTCACTTCCCATCTCTTCAATCGGTCACTTCCCATCTCTTCAATCGGTCACGTCCAAAACTCAAACTTACTTTCTCCCTCTTCTCAATTCATCTACGAATTTGGAACGGAGTGAAAAAAAAAAAAAAAAAAAAAAAAAAGAGAAATACATTTGACATCTCCCGAAGGGATGACGCTGAGAAAGACACATTTTAAATTCCATAACTGAGTCGCAGCACTAACCGTTGCAAAAATGTGTATATATGCATACATAAATGTATATATGTACATATGTATATATGTACACATGTATATTTGCACACATGTATATTTGCACACATGTATATTTGCACACATGTATATTTGCACACATGTATATTTGCACACATGTATATTTGCACACATGTATATTTGCACACATGTATATTTGCACACATGTATATTTGCACACATGTATGTATATCTAAATGACGGATAGCAAGACTTCTACAGACGCACAGATTTCCAAAACGAATGGCAAACGCACAATGGAAAATAGACACGGACTTAACACAACATATGGTGGAAGCATCGCGATCGAAAAGCTATTCGTTACAGAGAATGTCTTTCAAGATGTGAATGAAGAAGTCACTTGTGAACCTATCAAAAGATCAATAACTGAAAAAATAACGAAAATCCCAATAAAAGATGTGTTAAAAGAAGTAGTGGCAAAAGAAGTAGATGTAGAGGAGACAGATGCAGCTGAAGCAGACGCAGAAGAAAATGTACAAGCCATTCATAATAAAGAGGAAATTACTTACAACCAAGTGAAAGCACAAACCCATGTTGACATCCCAATTATTCAACCAAGACAAGAAGTTTATCATCAACAATTTTTTAAAAATATTCCAAGAGGCGTTGAATTATATATTACACAAAATTTACAAGTGCCAAAAATTAAACCAAAGTATGTTGAAATTCAGGTCCCTATATATGTTCCCTCCTATGTAGAAGTCCCTATTACCAGCTCAGTACATACCCATTGACGAAAATGTTAAGAAAGACCATTTTACCTGTGGAATCAATAATCACACGAAATTCTTTTTTAAAAATCCGATGATCTATAGCAACCTTGCTATGGGAGGCGAGGGAAAATAGACTAAATCTAAGAATCACCACCACCAACCTTCTATTGAGACTCCAATAACGGGTTTACCGGATTCAAGTTAATGCAAGCATGATAGCAAAAGTTTGTATGGATGATATTATTTACTTTTTACACCGTTCCTTTTTATAAAAACCATGCTGTGAAACAGGATTTTCTTTGACACAGCATGTTAATCACACGTCACATAATAAGGTTGCGTTGTCAGAACAGAAGAAGGAACATGGTGTGTTATCAATACTTCTTTCTGTATACTTCAATTTTTTCTCAGAACTTTTTCCCTTGCCAAATGCTTTTACCATTTTGTGAAATATTTCTAAGTTATGTAACTTTGCTTGACGATTCCCCACCTCACTCCCCCGGATGCATATAACATAACGAACAATTTTTTGATGAATAGTGTAATCGATAGTTGTTTTTTTCATTATATATCATTTGTTACACTGACCAATCCTCCTTTGATATTTCTAACTTTGCATTAACAGGTTTAATGACTAAATTTGATGTGTGTCTTTTTCACCTCTACGCTCCCTTCCTCATACTAACAAAAAGGTGATACAAACCGATGTATCCACGCACCTATAAACAGATGTATAAACACATGCATGTACACACCATGGGGAGTTAAAAAGAGGGACTAAAAAAATGTCCTCTTTTTCTTCCTCTTCCCTTATTGGACTGATTAAATTTTAAAATTTGTTGAAAAAAAAACCTTAAGGGAAAATTTGTTACATATGTTGTTTCTAAGCGGTGTATGCATGGGTGCATGTCGGAGAAACAGGCAAAAAAAAAAAAAATAAAAAAAAAAATAAATAAACTATATCACATGGGTGGGGTTACGGAGTCAAGCGTAATCAAACTGAGCAGTTTTATATGTGTGCGTAAATTTCGTCCTCCCTACGTCACTCACATAGGTACAACCATGTAAATGAGTACAAAATATATTGCTATGCTCCATGGTTACCCTAACATATACATGTACATATGTGGGTACATATATAGCTGGGGTTGCTCTAAAAGTGTGTATCTTGGGGAACCCTTCCTCCTCCTTCTCCTCCTCCTCCTTCTCCTCCTCCTCCTCCTTCTCCTCCTCCTCCTCCTTTTTTTTTTTTTTTTTTTTTTTGTCGCAACTGTAAATGGATCTGTGTCTAGTCTCTGTAATATTTCTTGGCATGAGCAGCATAAGCCTCAGGAGAAACAGCCTCTACAACAATTGGCATAAATCCATGTAGCGTACCACACATTTCAGAACATTGTCCATAGTATACACCTTCTCTCAATATAAAAGTTGTTACTTTATGTAATCTCCCTGGGATTGCATCTGCTTTAATACCAAGACTTGGTATAGACCATGAATGAATAACATCCGTAGCTGTGACTAGAAAAGATATATGTGTCCTAGTTGGTAGTGTTAATCTTTTGTCTACTTCTAACTGTCTTAACATTCCAGGTTGTAAATCTTCATCTGTAACCATATTTGATTGGAAGACATAATATTTTGGAATTTTATCAGGATCTTCTAAATACTTTTCTGGAATTGGATAATCTTCTGCTTTCACATTTGTAACTTTTGATGGATCATCTTCATTCAAATTTTTCAGCAGTATCTTATTATCGTTGTAAACCATTTTATTCCTTAATCCGAATACACTTTTAAGTATATCCATTTTGTTTATTATTTTATTTATTGCACAAATGGTATGATATTATAATTGCTACACACATATATAACCATACACCACCACCACCCTATGGTTTTTTTTTTTTTTTTTTTTTTTTGTTATGTTATTCGCACTTTTTTTTTTTTTTTTTTTTTTTTTCCCCCCCCCTCTACTTCCTGTACACTTTTTCCAATGAGATGTGTTTATTTAAATTTTGTGAAATGGATCTAACCTTTTTTTATTTATGAGTTATTTCTAATCCATTTGGAAGAAATTTTCAACGAACATCTCCCCCCACCCCAACTTGTGTTTGTATTGATGGATATTATATTTATGTGTAATTTGAGTGGACTCCCTGGATCATTTTATGTATATGATATGAATTCTTTGGTCATTCTGTTTTGTTTTATGTTACTTCTCATTATTACTACGCCTTATTATTACTACTTCTCATTCTTATTCTTCTTATTTTTTTTTTTTTCCTTCCCTCATAAGGAACCTTTACGAACGCTTGGGCAAGGATCCGTATGTTTCGCGCTTTGGAAAAAAAAAAAAAAAAAAAAAAGGGAAGAACAGATATAAATTTATATATATGCATACGTGCATAATATCATAGTTTTAGTCAAGTAAAGAAGCGAAGGAGGGGGGAGAGCTACATGCAATTTTTTTTTTCTTGTGCTGTTCCAATTCCGACGAGGATATGTTGTATTATGCATACTTTTAAAAACATGTAAAAGTACATAATGATAAAAAAAAAAAAAAAAAAAAAAAAAAACACATTTTTGTTCATAAATTTTAGGGAGAGAAGATAGCGAAACTTTTTCATGCGGTGAGAAAATTATTCTTTTCGGGACTGTAATTCTGTTCATACCACAGTTATGCCACAAAGCGGAAAAAAAGAAAAAAAAAAAAAAAGCATTTTATCCCAACAAGTGATACCACTTTGCAATGTTGTGTACTGTTTCTTTTTCCTTTTTTTTTAATTTAAAAAAAAAAAAAACTTTCTACGACAAGTAATCACTTACTATTGGCAAGTTATACGTAGAGGGACACCACCAACCACCCCCTATGTTACAACCTATTATGTCATGCTATTTTCACATGACACCAATTCGTTTCAATGTATTCTTATAATCTATATCATTTCTGAAACTCTTGGTAAATACAAAATTATACTCCTGTGAGACTGACCAAGGATTGATTATGCGTGTGAGTTCATTTGTCATGTGTTTATACATTGCACAGTGAGAAGGCAAAGTAGGACAAAACAAGACGGCGCAATGCAATGCAAAGAGAAGTAAAGAATTTGTCGGATTTGCCAAAGACAAATATGTATCATACATCTGATACTCTGTTTGGCGAACAATTCAGATAGAGACGTGAAAAAAAAAAGGCAACACAAAAAAGGCAACACAAAAAAGGCAACACAAAAAAGGCAACACAAAAAAGGCAATACAAAAAAGGCAATACAAAGAAGGCAATACAAAAAAGGCAATACAAAAAAGGCAATACAAAAAAGGCAATACAAAAAAGGCAATACAAAAAAGGCAATACAAAAAAGGCAATACAAAAATCTGAGTAAACCTAGACATTTACCAACTGGTATACATAACCACCACCCCATACCAATATAAACATAGACCTCGCAATTTTCCTGATTCCTGGATAAAATGGATTCAGGAAACCACTACATGCTGATTGCACGTTTCACAGTTGTTACCTCCTTTTCCTATGTGAATCCTCGTGATACCCCCTAGGCATTATACATATAAATATATATATAGTGCAATATATATATATATATATAGAGAGAGAGAGAGAGAGAGGAGATAGAGTGGGTGGGTGAACAGAACTATACATAGAATGGTTGTAATACAAAAGGGTGCACGGTGGAAGCGGCACAAGCTAAGCTATATACATATATATATATTTCCCCATTATATAAGCACACACAGACAACACAAATGCACCTTCCAGAGTAATACAATTGGTAATGTATGATATCCATTAACTACCTGGCCAATTTACAGGACAGTAGTAAAATGCATCCCCAATAAATGTGAACACTGTTTACACTAAATTTATTTCAATTTATTTTTTTTTACGTCATCCTATTTTTACTTCACATATTTTTACTTCACATATTTTTACTTCACATATTTTTACTTCACATATTTTTACTTCACATATTTTTACTTCACATATTTTTACTTCATCCTATTTTTACTTCATCCTATTTTTACTTCAAGTATTTTTTTTTTACGCCTTGTCACCTATGGCTTAAATTTCTTCCTGTAATTTAAAAAGGCCTTTTCAACATGACTTGGCAAGGGAAGATCCACGTAGAATGGCTCTCTTCCCCTGGTTGGCCCAGCCATCATGGGTTCTCCAAATTGTTCATACCTTTTTATCAATTCTGAGTCTACTAGTATTTCTTCCTCGTCATCTTCTTGCCACTGTGTTGCGTTGGAAAAATGGAAAGGGGGAACGTGTAGGAGGGTTTTAATTAAAAATTAAGTTATGAGTGATAGGGAAAAAAAAAGGCGGAATAACAAGAAATTTACATCTGCACATTCATGGCATATGTGTAGATTCGTCCTATATATCAACATCAAGGACACACACACACGGCACTTTCCACAAATGTAGGTTGATGAAAAGCAATTTGATAAAACATATTATGACAAATATGGCAATTTTTTTTTTTTTTTTTTTTTTTTCCTCTTTTACCAAATCCTGCTTGGTAAGATGTCTCAAACTACTTAAATCCGAAATTAATTGATCATTTTCGTCTAGTAAATTAAATTTTTTTGCAATGTGATAATACTGTTTAAAATTTCTTCTATTTTTCTTCATTTCCTCATATATATATTTAATTCTGTCATATCCAACCGGTTTGGCTGGTCTTAATTCTCCTGGCCTATCAATAAATTCAATAAATGCCATAGGTGCAGCATCTCTTAATCTTAGTCTCCACTGATTAATAACTCTTGTAAAAAAAAAAGGTCTATATCGATATAAAGGAACGTAATATTCATATAATTTTCTTCTTCCTTGTGCTGTTCTTAACATACTTTCTACTTTTAAATTATTTTCAGCATTATTTTTTTTAGCTAAATAAATTAACTCTTCTGCATACCCTTGTAATTCCTTAGCTTTTGTTAATGTAGTTTCAATTCTCCCATATTTTAATAACTCATTTAGTTGGTTTTTTATGCTGTCCCATTTATGATGTGGTTGTTTATGAGCTCTTCGGAATAATCTTCTCCTAACACCAAGGTTAACAAATTTTAGCGTAGATGTGTATCCCATGTTTTTTTTTTTTTTTTTTTTTTTTTTTTTTTTTTCATAAATCTCTTCTATAATGTGTGTATGTGCTTATGTTAGTTGCCTGAACATTCAGATAAAAAAATGATCCATTTGGCCATTTGCCAAAACGTTCTAATAAGAAATGATCCATTTGGCTATTTTGCCTTAACATTCATATAAAAAATGATCCATTTGGTTATTTGCCTGTACGGGTTATTTGGAATATGACCATTTTATTTTATTTTTTTCACACCTTATGAAGTCATAAATGTTCTCCAAGCATATATCTACATTGCACATTAAATTTTTTTTCTTTTTTTTTAAACTCGACAAATCCATCTTCTAAAACATTTAAGGAATTTTTCAGCTTGTAAGCATGTTGAGGGCACTGAATGATTGTGTCGTTTATATGTATATAAGCATATGTATATGTGCATGTATAATTAAGTTTTTTTTTTTTTTTTTTTTTTTTTTTTTCGAATTGAAAACTCATTACTTTCATATCGAACAAAAGTACGACATGAATGCATTCCCCCCTGTTGTCAAGGTTTATCTCGCGCACGAGGTTCTTGTTATTTTAAAGAATATATCCCCTTTGTGTGTTAGGAAGAGATACATTTTTCCTAATATGGCATATTGCACACAATGGTACTTTGCGAGATGCTAAATTGCAAAGTGGTAGGCAATTTTTTCCCCTCTGGGTCAAGCAGACCCGTAAAAGACAAAACGAAGTATCCACACGCATAACCCATGCAAATGTGAACTACTGTGCAGCTATGCATGTGTTCATAAAATATAATAAAAGGAAAGCCCCTCCCCTACCCCCCATCCGTTGCCTAAGAAAAGGCCAATAAAAACGAGGGAACAAAAAAAAAAATACAGTGTAAGCTTAGCCATAAAAACAAAATGATGATGATCAACTTTGCGCAACATTAAATGATGTTAAAAAAAAAAAGCTTCCAAAAAAGAAGGCTCCAAAAAAAAAGGCACAAATGAGTACAACTTTCAAGCACGAGGAAGAACAACAAAAAAAAAAATTGCTTAACCGTTGTGGGATAATCAAATAAAGTAGTTTTGACGTTCCTGAATTAGCACGCTCATTATCTCATAGAATTAACTGTTTAAATTACAGAGCATTTTTGTAGAAAAGAAAATTTCCTATGTTCACTTTGCGTTAGAAAATCAACGATACAATACTTTCGGTTGAATATACCCTGTCCGTACTTCCTCATGAGGATTGAAAAATTGCAAACTAATAAACGAACGTGTTTTCATATCTCCATGTTGAAATTTTATAGACATGTAGCAATGGTTATCACTATATATATACCTTAGCATTTAAGGGGGAGAGGGGGCCCAAGGGAGAAAGACAAAATGAATTTTTGTTTATGTTTTTGTATTTTTTTTGTTCTTACGCCCTAATAAAATATAGTATTTTAAGTCAGATAAAACCTACTGTACTAAATTGTTAAGCAAAAACGTTTCATTTTGAGATGCAAAAAAAAAATAAAATAAAAAAAATAACCCCTATATTACTAATAAACGAAGAGCAGCTTTTGTGTCAATCATTTTTCTCCTTAACACAAAGTCAGCTTTTCATAGCACATGCAATATGTTTAAGGGTGGCTATTTGCAAATTTACAATGTAGGAACAGCAGCCTTCACATGGTTTTGATTGCGTATTTGCTAACTCGAGAATTTGATTACTTTCACCAAATTTGCTGTAATTGTTATTGTTATCGTTGTTGTTTTTGTTGTTTTTTTTTCTTTTTCTTTTTTTGTTCTCCAACTATTCTCATGCTTTCCCCCTCTGCAACGATTGGCGTGTCGATATTCTCCACATTATTCTATTTTTTATTTTCCCCATTATTTCTACCACCCCCTAATAGTGTCAGGTGAAAATAAAAAAAAAAAAAAAAATACAATTGTGAGCAATGTGGCCCCATTAAACGTCATGACAAAAGTTGACTAGTTTGTATGAACAAGACAGGCAAAAAAAAAAAAAAAAATAATAACTACTAGCCAATTTGAAAAGTGAACGAAATATTCACACTTGTGGTAAATCACACACAGCTCCTATTTCCATTTTTGAAAAAGGGATAAAAATTTAAAGTTCTTCATAATTAGTGTCTCACTTTAAGAAAATGTAAATTAGCGCAAGCAAAAATGCTTAAGCATAGTTTACTTCATTTTATTTTTTTATTTATTTTTGATTAATCATTCTGCTTAGGCACATAGCCTCACACTTAAATTTTTCATGCTGTCTCGCGTTATGTTAAATAGTTAAAAAGTGTGTAAAAGTTTTTACACCACATCCGTGGACAATTCCCTTGTACATGTGTAACAGGAGGGAAGTATTTTCTCTCAAGAGTTCTTCCACACACTGTGATGCTTATCTCTCCACAGAAAAAATATCACATGAACAAAAAACGAAAATATGTGTACATAAATATTATTTCAATTTTTGTGCATTTATATAATTATTTTCTTATGCTGCAGAAAAAGGAAAGAGTGTAGGGGAGGGGGACGGGGAAAACCCCAAACAAGGTCGAAAAAATGTCATACATATTTTTATATAACATAGAAAAAAAATAAATGAATATATCACAAGTAAGTAGACATTTATGTAATTCACATGTTGTTATTCTTCAAGAAGTGATATTTCAGTAAAAAGTGGGATGTATGCGTGTGCATATATATTTATAGGGTCACAGTTTGTAGACAAGTATGAGCAGCTAGGAAAAGGAATCCCTTCATATTATATGATACAGTGAATGGTAATTATCCACAAGTAGGGATACATGTTCACTTCTCATGCACAGTTACAATCACGTCTTTATCCCTGAGAAAGTGACTTAATTAAGTTTCTGCTTGGCGAAGAGTTCAGGTACGTCTATACAATTGCGAAATTATTCCATAACATGGAGGAGGAAAAAAAAAAAAAAAAAAAAAAAAAAAAAAACCTCATTGATATGCCAAGAAACACTAAATAATTTCCCCAGTAAGGATTATGATGAGACAATGAGTGTAAAGAAGGGTGATATAAATATGGAGGAATATACAGAATCGGTAAAAAATAATGACAAAAGAGGTGACATAAATGGAGAGATAGGAACATGTCCAAGAAGAGAAGCAAAAGTAGAAGAGAAAAACTTCAATACATCAAATAATTGCACACTAGAAAATACACGAAATATGGTAAAAACATATATAGATGATTATTTAAAAAGGCTATATTTTTACAAAGACGATCCAAAATTTAGGGAAAGCCCAACAATGTGCTTAGAAGGAACAGAAGAAATAGAAAATTATATGATTAAAGAAAAAACATTTGTAACAACATATTATCAATATATAGAGATATACAATAACACCACAAATATAGAAGAACATTTAGAAAAAGAAGAAATTGTATATGTTGAAATGGCAAAGTATGGTGTTACAAAATATAAACCCTATATTGTAACGAAAAATAACAAAAAATATATTGAAATTCCAAATGAAGAAAAAATTAAAAATCCAATATATGCCACTGTTAATGTTCCATATATTATTCCACATCTGGTAGAAAATGAAACTTTAGTTGTCTTAAAAAAAATTGTTCAACCAAAAATTCAAATCTCGAATGAGGAGTTACAAGTCCAAGTTGAAAAATATATCCCTTGTTTAGTTCCTGTGAATGTTTATATTCCTCGTTATTTTGCAATTTCTGCAAAAGCAAGTGATGAAGTTAAATATTCTGTTCGGTATGTAAACTTATCAAAAGAACAAACTGACACATTAATGAAAGAATTGAATCCACATCTAAACGAACTCAAGAAATTTAATGATACACAGCTAATTAAAATGGATCACTACATCAAGGAATCAGAAATACAAGCTAAGAATCACGGATTAGAACCTCCACATCCTCAACTTGTGGTCTATGATCTAGACGGAAATAAGCAGGTACAGAATTACTCCAATTTTTACTATATCAAAAAAAAAAACTGTCTTTAAAGGGTGGGGGAGGAGAGGGACAACAGTTTTGTATGTTAGATAAGTGGAAGTGTAGAGAGTTACACATAGATGGTGTTCTTTCCCACGATTTCATTTTTTTCACCACTTTGCTTTTTTAAGGACCCAATTTTTTTTGGCACCCTCCCCCAACCCCTTTTTGCTTCTTCCACTCTCACAGTGTTGTCAAACATGGAACAGTGGAATATGTGGAAAGTGAGGAAAATGAGGAAAACGTTTTCCACATTTTCCAACAGTACTTCTCTTTCATATCTGCATTCATGAAGGGTTAGAGATTTTTCTTTTTAACACTCTTCATCGTCCTTGTCTCCTAAACCTGCTTAGTAGGATCCATTTACAACGATCTAAAAATATATGCACATCGATATGTATATAATTTTCAAAAAAAAAAAAAAAAAAAAAAAAAAAAAAAAAAAAATTAAAAAAATGTATTAAAACAAAATTGAGTCCATAAATGAGGGATATACCTAATTAATATTTTACCTTTAAAAAAATGTGTCAAAAAAAAAAAAAAAAAAAATTAAAAAAATGTGAAATATGGAGGAGGCACAAACCGGGAAAAATAAATCACGAGCAATCGTAATGTATAATTTGTAAAGGAATAAAAACGGAAAAATTATCAAAATAAATAATCATGGTAAAACTTATGACAAAGCTTGTTACTTATGAAGTTGCATAGCGTGGTTGTGTTTCATCTTATGTAATTTACAAATATACATATGTCAGATGGTCTCGTCGTGGTGTGTGTACAATATCATGCAGATAGGATTTAAACAAATGAAAATTGGTGCATTCCAAATGGAATTACAATAATATAGGGGATATTTATTAAGACATAATTGTAGTCTGGATGAATAGTTTCAAAAAATATCACTTTTATGATTTTTCAAAACTATGGTTTTTTCTGAATAGTCACCTTCCAGCTTTTTCTTTATTTTTGTTTTCCTGTTCACACTTCTTTCCCTTCCCTCGACGTGGTGCTAAATAATTCAAGTCCATCATCGTACACAGCTGTACGTGTGTAAATATGCCACTTGTCTCTTTTTACACAAGTTAGTGAGTTACATATTCTGTAAAAAATGAAAAGAAAAGCTGGACGTCTAATCCGAAAAAGAAAAAAAAAAAAAGAAAAAAAATTCTGTTCTATTATCCAGTTTTACAAAAATTGCGCCACTATTAGGAACACCTGCCTTAATTGGCATAGGTATTCTTCTATCCGTTTAAACCCATATATATTTCGACAAGCATAGATTCTCAAACTCTACAAAGGGGTGTAAAATAAATCCACTGTGCTCATCATCTAGTGAATACAAAAAAAAAAAAAAAAAAAAAAAAAAACTTTTTACTATTCATTAACGTGGAAAAATGCTTGTCCTTCCCTTGAAGTAGTAAAGATTTTTCCGTTCAGCGGCCTCCTCATTTCAACTTTTGCATTCCACTTTTGCATTCCACTTTTGCATTCCACTTTTGCATTCCACTTTTGCATTCCACTTTTGCATTCCACATTTGCATTCCTCTTTTGCATTCCACTTTTGCATTCCACTTTTGCATTCCACATTTGCATTCCACTTTTGCATTCTACATTTGCATTCCTCTTTTGCATTCCACTATTGCATTCCACTATTGCATTCCACTATTGCATTCCACTATTGCATTCCACTGGTTTTACTTAATTTTTGCTTGATGGCAGCTTTTTTCCCCGGTCGTTCATATACTTCCAGAATGAAAATGTGATAAAAAATTTATTTTTATTTTTCGGTAGATTTTTCATAATTGTGCAGATTTCAAGAGACTCATTTTTGAACTTATCACTCTGTAAACCACAGACTGTACTATGGCAGTATTCGTCATAATCAAAATCTTCAATTACATTTTCTATCACTTTCCCGTTCTCTGTAGAAAAGTGTTTCAAAAACTGCATATCACAACTTGGATGCATTAAAATTATATTTTTATTTAAAATGAAAATTTTACATACATCTTTACAACAGAAAAAAAGAAAAGTAATTAAACTACTGCATCCTAAAATTAACGGATTTATTGTCTCTCTATATTTTTTAAAAAACTTATCTTTGAACGAGCATAGAAAAATTATTTTCCCGTGGCTACATCGTAGTAGTTTGTCAATTTTTGTTTTCGCCTCTTGCATGGTTGGTACTGTTGACATGATCGACACATTCTTCCTACTTTGATACATCTTCCATCTTTCTTCTTTTCTGTTTCTACTTTTACAACATTTAAAGAAAAGATCCCTGTCATTATTTTTCATATATTTGTCAAATATCTTTAAAAAAGGATCCTCCTCTTTCTTTTCTCTTCTTTTCCACTCTTCATTCGGGGAATGTTTCGATTCAATGCAACGGAAGTTCAACGAGCGGTGGTCTCCTTCGTCTTCGTCTTCCCCTTCCTCTTCTTTGTCTTCCCCTTCCTCTTCTTCCTCTTCTTCCCTCTGATTAACTGTTCTTCTTGAGGAACTACTCCATAATAACATTTCGCTCTCTAGTGAGCTGGGTTCACTTTGCCAAGGAGGAGGCACTTCACAATCCAAAGGATCACCACCCTCTCCTCCACTGATACAAAAAACGGACGAGGAGACGCTCGTGCAGCAACAAGCAGGTTTGATAACATGGTTCTCTTTATGCAACAAACCATTGTATAGACTCAGCTGAATTATATGTGCAATTTTTCCTAAAGAGTAGTCTTTTAAAAAAGGAAAATTTTCTTCTTTCAATTTATTTGCAGCTTTGTATATATCACTGTCCAATTCCCAGGGAGTTCTTCCTGTGTAATATGCACTACTTGATCGACTAGCATGACAAGTTGAAATATTAAATTCGCTCGGTTTCAGGATGCAGTTTACATTGAAATTAATATTTTGAGCTGGTCTATCTTGTTTCTTTTTTTCCATACTGATTGCAGATTCGCTTACTGTGTGTTCTTCTTCCTCTTCGTTTCTCTCCTCTCCTTCCTCTCCATCTTTCAAAACGAACGCGTATGGCCTAGTCAGAGCACTTTCGATTTTATTTACAAAGTTATCATTTGCGTGTGAGAAGTAGGAAAAGCTGTTATTAAAAAAACTGTAGGTGAAAAGTTTTTCTGAGATTTCCATGGGTTCTCCATATGATATGACATTACAAAGAGTAGGTAATTCACCAAGTGTCTCCTCCTCATCACCAATATTGGAATTCAAAAAAAATAATAACCTTTCCTTACATAAGTGCTTAACAAATTGTATAACCATTTTATCAAGGAAAATATTTTCCTTTACATTCGCACTGCATACATGTAGAAAATAATTTATCAGTTTTTTCCACATGTTCTTTGGATAAGGATTTGCAAAACTTTGTGTCTTTATCCATCCACAAAACCATTTTGGAGTTTCCCTCAAAAGAACAAAATAATGATTTCTTTTGGATTTCACAACTATGTATTCATTGTGTAAAGATATGTATATGTTCATAAAATTGCAATTCATTTTTGCACCTTCGTTAAAAATGGCTAGTCGTTCCTTGATTCTACTATATGCAGGTTTAATTTGATCTCTATAAAAAGTTAATATGGTCATATGTAGCATGAATTTTATTTCGTTAGAGATTTCCTTTGAGTTTAAAATAAGTGTTGGCAGTTTTATTGGTATTAAGTTACTCATTTTCTCCCTTCCCTTCTTTGGATAAAAATTACTCTCATCAGTTGGTGATACATAGGCTTTTTCGAGGTCCTTGGTCTCATCTCGTCTTTCATAATTATGTTCATTTTTGTTATGACCAGAGTCATATAATTTATTTTTACCAGAAATAAAATTTCGATTCCCTTTTCCCTCGCCCTCCATAGAGCAAATGGTTTCATCGATCGAATAGGATGTGTCATTTAAGTTAAAACGCACTTTCCCTTTCTTTCTTTTCCTTCTGTTTCCACTATTTTCCTCTTCTATGCATTTTATAGATGCTTTCTCCTCTCTCAGCTCTTTCGATTCCTCATCTTTCTCCCCTTTCTCCCCTTCTGGCTTTTCCTCCCTTTCGGAATTCAACCTGTCAGATATTTTAAACGCAGGATATCTTAGGGGCTCGTAAAAAACGTAATTCATCTCTTCAACTTTTCTATTTGCTTTATTCTGCTTATAATAACTATGTAAAGTATTTGGTTCCATATAGGATGAATTGTGGATGTTGTTCTTTTTAGCTTTTCCTAATCTTACATCATTGTGTGTGTAGTAAATTCCACTTTGAAATACATTTTGTATATATAATTGACTTGGCCCATTATTGGTCCTATTTTTATAAGAACCCTCTTTCATTCCTTTTAATGAAATCCCACTATCCGCGTTCATTAAGTTTTTTTTTCTTTTTTTGTTATTAAGTGAATATTCCATTTTACATTTGAATCCAGCACAAACGCCATTCTGAGAAAAAAATGATTAATGTTTCAAACATCGCCACCGAATAAGCATAAATATGAACAAGTCAGGTAAAAAAAAACAAAAAAAAAAAAAAAAAAAAATAGCTAGTTTTTTTCATGGCAAATGTATATGTGGTTCAAATTGGTCTTTTTTTTTTTTTTTTTTTTTTTTTTTCATTTTCCTTTGTAGAAGAATTGGAAAAAAACAAGTTGCTATAAAATTTCCTCGTGTAATAAATTGCATGTTGTTCCACGATGGAATGGGTAAACTGTCACATTCATTTTTTTTTTGCTTCTTCTTATGTCTGACTTTTTGTCTTCTTCTCATGAACAAGAAAAATATTTCATTTATGTATATATATATATATATATATTTATCTCGACTCTAGCACTTTTTAGTATGATGCATTTTTTCCTATAACATTTTACCTGCTTTGTAAACTTCAACCCACCTTCTCAATTTTTTACACCAACAAATGTTTGGTTCCTTTTCCGTAAACGTCTTCTTTTATGAACAGTTGATCAGGTGGCATATAAATGGTATATCTTACGTGTTTTTGCTTCTTCGAAAATGTAAAATTGCATTTTCCTTTGTTATAGGTAAAAAAATTCTTTATTGGTATTTTTCTGGATGTTGCTAGATTGCACTGTTCTTGTGCTAGATCTGATTAGCTGGTCTTCCTAAAGTCTGAAATATACATGCATCTATGAGTAATTTTGATAGTGTGAATTTGCGTCATACTGCGTTGCACGTTCTATCAGCAGCTGATCAAAGTTGAGACATTAATAAATGATCTAGCTAAAATTACCTGAAATTAAGTTCATTCGATTAGAGGTACTTCCACTCCAAATGGTGGACGTGCTATATCAATTAGAATCCTTATTTTCACCACTATGTATCAGGTAATTGTGCTATTTTTTTCTACATAATTATATATATATGTCTCTATTTTTTTTTGCTTCACTTGCTTTTTTTTTTTTCCAAAATGATGTAGCTATCTATACTACCTAGAAAAATGGGGAAAAATATATATATATATATATATATATATATCAATTAAATATGAAACAAATTAATGGCAAAAAAGAAGGATAAATTTAAGTTCCTCGTGTGGTTGCCCTTTTATTATTTTCTAACGAACAAACTTATGCTGACTTGTTCAGGTGAAAAGGGAAAAAAAAAAAAAATTATATTTTAATTTAAGAATTTTTAAATTCATAGCATTTTCAGTTTTATAGACATAAAATGAACAGTTGTGTTTAGCTTTGTACCAGGTTACATCGTGGAAATAAAAAATTCAAAACACCTTTGACATACTATTGATCGTAGAGCAAAAAAAATGTTCTAAGAGTTTTAGGCATTTTTTTTTTATTTTTCAAGTTGATAATAGTTTTATATGAAAATATGAGGCTATTAAGATGTGAGGGTAAGTGGCACACGCAAACATAATACATGTAGCAAGAACTGTTAAGGGAAAAGTAATTATTTATATACACGGGTCCCATAGGTAGACTCTAAATGTATTTTTTTTTTTTTTTTTTTTTTTTTTTGTGCTTGTAAGTTCCATCGATACACAATCCATAGTGCACAATGCTTATCGCATAATTTGCAACATATGATGAATAATGAAAAATAATGAAGCTATTCACTCCTACAACACTGTAAACACTAAATGCAGCAAATTCTGTAAATATATTGATGGATGGAGAAAAAAAAAAAAAAAAAAAGGGCGCAGTAATTTTACAAGGATAAAAGATGAAAAAATATTTTGATGATTCCCTTCTACTTGAATACCAATTTTTTTTATAGAAATACCCACCAAGCAAAGACTTTAAATAAGAAACAATGTTTAACGCCCTACTTGCAAGATATTCAAAAGAATGAATCATGTCATTCTTGTATAGTTCCCACATAAACAAAATATGAAAAAAAAAAAAAAAAAAAAAAAAAAAACAAAAAAAAGAAAAAAAAAAAAAAAAAAAAAAAAAAAAAAAAAAAAAAAAAAAAAAAAAAAAAAAAAAAAAAAAAAAAAAAAACCTGAACAGAGGCAAGGCAAAAACGTATAACAATAACAGTTTAAAAAAAAAAAAAAAAAAATCTGAACGAACAGGCAAAGATCAAAATGGGGGGTTCCAAAAAAAACAAAAACAAAAAGAAGCAACATAACAGTTTCATGGGAAGGAGCTTAATGCGAAACAAGTTGTTGCAAAAAGAAATATCTGACAACATTTTGTACTCAAAAATAGGAAATGATGACGATAAAAAAGCGAGTAAAAAGTTTTCCGTTTTGGATAAAAATCCTCTTGATGATTATTTGGATAACCAATTAGTTATTAACAGTGTACAGGTGAGCAAGGTATTTATACAAAAAAACGAAATTAAGGAAAAAAAAAACATAAGAGACAGAAATAAAAGCAAAGATTTTCTGAACATTCAGAATATTCTGCTTCCCATTCCAGGTAGACCATTTCTTTTGAGTAATCAAGACAAGGTTAACATAATTCTTAACGAAAGGAAAAATATGCCGGTAAAAAAAAAAAAAAAAAAAAACGCCAAGAAAATTAGCTTTCTGATGAGCGGTAAGAGTCTCATACCGATTAATGTGCGCAGTTCGAAGGGGGGAGAGATATCCAAGAAAAAAAAAGTCCGCCATGTTCGAAAGGGGGTGAACGGTAAAGTCCTGAACGGCAAGGTAAATGAAAAGGAGGAAGAGCAAGACGAGGAAGAGGACTGTGCAGAAAATGAGGAAGAAGATGGTGCAGAAAATGAGGAAGAAGACGGTGCAGAAAATGAGGAAGAAGACGGTGCAGAAAATGAGGAAGAAGACGGTGCAGAAAATGAGGAAGAAGACGGTGCAGAAAATGAGGAAGAAGACGGTGCAGAATACGAGGAAGGCAACGGTGCAGAATATGAGGAAGAGGATGGTACACAAAGTGATGCAGATGCGCATGCCGAACCGAGTGACCATTGCAGATACGAGTGCATGTATGACTTGAGGTATATTCATATGTACGAGGATCTGGGGAAGAAGTATAAAGACATGGACGTACAGGAGGTCTTGAGCAAAGAGAGCATAGACAAGCACGAAATAGAATACTTTATTGAATGGAGGAAATTGCTAAGTGCCATAGAAGAAAGAGAAGGATACATAATAACTCCGTATGAAAAGAATATCGAATACTGGAGACAGCTGTGGAGAGTTATAGAAAAAAGTCATGTATTATTTTACATTATCGATGCTCGAAATCCGTTATTTTTTTATTGTAAAGGGTTAGAATATTATATTAAAAAAGTAGACGCAAGAAAAGAATTTTTTATCATTTTAAATAAATCGGATTTTTTAAATTATGAACAAAGAAAAGAATGGTCAGAATTTTTTGTGAAGAGGAATGTGAATTTTATTTTCTTTTCAGCTTTACGGGAGTTATATCATCAAAATAATGTAACTATTGAAGATTTGCCATTTCCTCCACATACATACCAGAATGGGTGGTGTTCCATAGAAAATAATCATGCTGAAAAAAGAGAGATGCACATCACAATTCCTTCAATGGAGTTAAATGACCTATCAATGGGTCAGGTGAAAACAAAGGAAAAATATTCCTTGGAATTTTCCAAACTTGAGAAAACACACATAAGCGATTGTGCAGAAATAGAAGACGGAAACAAAAAAGAAGTTATTATTAATGTAGGTTTTGGGAATTTAAGTTATGAGGAAAAAAAAAATGACAAAACAGATATATTGAGTGTAAATGATTTAATAAATTTAATTAAAAAAATAAAAAACAAAGTAAAAGATCAATATCATGAAATAGAGATAGGAACATATAACATACCAAAATTTATGGCAGGGTTTATTGGATTTCCTAATGTAGGAAAAAGCTCCATTATCAATTCTCTAATTGGTTTAAAAAGAGTAAGTGTTAGTAGACAACCAGGGAAAACGAAACATTTTCAGACGATTCCATTAAAACCTTTTGATTTCTCCCTTTGTGATTGTCCAGGTTTAATATTCCCTTCTCTAGTATTCAATAAATATGACTTAATTATTAATGGCGTTTTTTCAGTAGATCATTATAAAGGAAATCTGATTTCCCTTATTCAAATTCTCTGCAATATTATTCCTCATCAGTTATGTGAAAAGTACAGAATTGATAAAAAACTCATTTTCGAAATGATGGTAGAGGATGGTGGGGAGGAAAGCCGTGGCAAGGGGACAGAAAAGGGAGAAAAAAAGGGAGAAGAAAAGGGAGACAAAAAAGGAGACGAAAAGGGAGAAGAAAAGGAAGAAAAAAAACAGAAATCATATTACCATCTAGATGCAACTCAATTCTTGCGCGCATTCTGTACTTCTAGAAAGTATATTTCTGGAGGAAAAGGAGGACAATTAAATCTGAATTTCGCCACAAGACTTATCATTAGAGACTTTATAACGGGAAAACTTCTCTACAATTTTATGCCAACATATCTAGAACAAAATATGCATATATACCAACCCGACGAGAATCCCCACGAGCTCATAACAACTTCTGCGCAACTTGATAAGAATCACTTCTGCGAGGTACTATTTTTATCTTACAATTATGAGTGAGCATGTTCTTTCATCTCTCATTTAAGAGGCAGGAAAAAAAAAATATATATATATATTTATATGTAAGCAGAGGATGAAGTACACCATATCTCACGCCATGTTGTCTGGATAATTATAATTGCACTTGCTTGAGCTTTCATTACTACTACTAACAAAGCTTATACCACCATCTTTGTGTGTGTGTCTCCATTCATTCTTCTATCCATTCTTCTATCCATTCTTCTATCCATTCTTCTATCCATTCTTCTATCCATTCTTCTATCCATTCTTCTATCCATTCTTCTATCCATTCTTCTATCCATTCTTCTATCCATTCTTCTATCCATTCTTCTATCCATTCTTCTATCCATTCTTCTATCCATTCTTCTATCCATTCTTCTATCCATTCTTCTATCCATTCTTCTATCCATTCTTCTATCCATTCTTCTACCCATTCTTCTGCCCATTCTTCTGCCCATTCTTCTGCCCATTCTTCTGCCCATTCTTCTGCCCATTCTTCTGCCCATTCATCCTTTTTTTTTCTTTTTTTTTTTTTTTTTTCTTAGCATACGCTCACACCTGAAGAGGTTATAACAACAAAGAGAAAATTCCGCTACATGCAAAAGAAACTAATCAAGGGAAAAAATGTGTTCAACTATGGTTCTTAGATTTTTTCCTTCGGATCCAATAATCTCCCACATGCATACAAAAATATATACACAGAGTAGGAGGGAAGGGAGATAAAAGAAAACCTATCATATGTAATATATGATAGATCATATATCCCATACATCATAGATAGAGAAGTGCTTGAACATTATTTCCAATTTATATCATTAGAGTAAGTAAAAGTGTTGCAAAAATTATGAACTTCTTGATGTACGTGTGCTTATCACCACTGAAATAATCGAATGTGGAATTTATATTTCCTGGAAAATATGGATTGTTGTAATCGTACATTGGCAATGGAGCAAAGTCTGATGAATTTCCTGAATACATATTATATGGAGAACCAAGTGTTGTCCCTTCAGTAAATGAACCCATTGCAGCCCCTGTCGTACCCATTGCTCCAGCTGCAATAGTACCAGCAGCGAGTGTTGTTGCTGCATGTTGTAATGCAGTACCCTTCTTCTTGTTTTCATTGTGCTCCTTCAAAATCTGTTTAACGTGGCTTCCTTTCTTAGTGCAGTAGACCTGTATGGGGGTGAAGAAAGGGGAAGTGGAGATGTTTGCACATGCATTTGTACATGCATTTGTACATGCATTTGTACATGCATTTGCACATGCACATGTATATGCACGTGCAATCATTTTATACACATCGCTCGTGCAGTGTGTCCCCCGGACATTCAGAGAAAAATACACAAAATCCGTACGACTGAATCAATGCACTTTTTATTTCGTTTAACAAAAAAATTGCAAAATAGATTTACACGACAACAAAAGAGTAAAAAATGTTTTGCTTGATGCGTGAAAAAAAAAAAAAAAAAAGTGATATGATACGTTAAAGAGGTGTGAGAGGTATATACCCCACCACCCGTTATAGATGCATCATCACATAATGGTTTTTTTTTTTTGTTCAATTTTTTTTGTAGCCACATTTATGCAATTTTTTATGCAACCCCTTTTGTGCCGTTTTTTTTTTTTTTTTTTTTTTTTTTTTTCTTTTCCCTTTTTGGTGAAAACTTACCTGAACACAGGAATTAAACAAAATTTCATCACAATTTCGACAAGTTAAAATGACCTCATATCCAGATCTGAAAAAATTTAATGGCTCACCCTTTATATATTTCATTTTCACGGGGACTTTAAGCGTCATCTCAACTAACGATTGTTTTTTGAACATGTTACCTTTCCACTTAAGTGAATTTTTGCATGATTTTACTATAATACTGTTGAAAAATGCTTCGATATGTAATTTTTGTTTATCTGGTATAATTTTCTTTTTCATTCTTGTAAAAAAATTTCCGATTTTACTTTTCATATCATGACCTTCGCCATCGTTATCTTTATCCCCTTTTTTGTCCCCTCTACCTTTTTTTTTTTTTTTTTTTTTTTTTCCTCCTCGATTGCCATAACTACCATTATACTCACCTCCATCTGAGTCATCATTGTCATCACTGCTTTCATCATCATTATTGCGTCCATTTCTACCACTTAAACCACCCATACCACTTCTATTATCATCTGAATCATCATCACTATCACTATCACTATCATCATAATTGTCATTTTTCTTTCCCTTATTTTTCCTTCTTTTTTTCCATGGAAATTTCCACCTTTTTCTTTTTCGTTCCTGTGGTTCATCATCACTTTCCTCATCTGAATCTGATTTTCTTCTAAAAACTTTATTAAAAATTGTATTGAAAAATCCGTTTTTAGATTTGTAATAATTTCCCATGGAATCTCCATCCAAATCGTCCTTTATTTGATAGAAGGAGTACAGCTCTCCCTCTCTCAACAGTTCGTTCGCTTCGTCACGTCTCAACAGTTCGTTCGCTTCGTCACGTCTCAACAGTTCGTTCGCTTCGTCACGTCTCAACAGTTCGTTCGCTTCGTCACGTCTCAACAGTTGGTTCGCTTCGTCACGTCTCAACAGTTGGTTCGCTTCGTCACGTCTCAACAGTTGGTTCGCTTCGTCATGTCTAAACAGTTGGTTCGCTTCGTCATGTCTAAACAGTTGGTTCGCTTCGTCACTTTTCAACGGTGGACTGATTCCGTGAACCCTCACATTCTGCAGCTCTACATATGAATATTTGTTACCACTTTCTTCATTGTCGTCATCTTCTCGGTTTTCTTCGTCTTCTTCTTCACTTTCCTCTCGAGAACCCTTGAACCTACTTTCGTTACCCCCTTTTGGGTTCTCCTTATCTGATTCTGAGACACCCTTATATTTTTCAGTGCTCCTTCTGCTGACATCTAAATAGATGTCATTTTTGTCTTTTACAATTTGCAACAACAACTTGATGTAAATTGTACTCATTCCATTTTCTGAGACGTCACATTTATTTAGTTTGTTTTTTAAGTACTCCTCATATTTGTTCAAACTTATTTTAAATCTTTTGTAAAGGGTTTTTTCCTTCTCTTGGTCTTGCCCAATGAAGGAGTAATAATAATCTTGTCCGTTATCAGTCTTTTCATAATTGGAATGATTGTAATGTTTTAAACTTTCATTTGTCTTTTCTATACCAAACTCAAACTGAGAATGGGGTTCTAAAGAACCGCAGGAAGAATTTACAATTGCACCGACATGCCTCTTTCTACGTTTTCCTTCTCTATACAAATTTTTGTTTTCTTCATTTAGAAGTTCATATAACGGAATTTTTTTATGAACATGAGCAGGTGGTTTTTCTAAAAAAGATTCCGCCTCGTTTTCTTCATCAAAATTATTTCCTTCATTTTTTTCTTTTTTTCCTCTCTTTGCAGAACTTTTACCCATGTTATTTCCATCACGTTTATCTTCTTCATCTGAATCGTCGTTATCATCATCTTCCTCTTCCTCATCATCTGCTTCCTCAGTAGAACTATTACCCTTTCGCTTATATTTCCTTTCATTTCTTGCATCTTCTTCTGCATCTTCTTCTGTAGGACTGTGGTTCTTCTTACTCTTGTTATTTTCCTTCTCGTCATCAAGAGATGAATTTATTACATTGTCATTCGACTCGTCATTTTTACTGCCTTTATCACTTCTTGATTGTTCTAACGGAATTTTAAAATTATCATATGGTGTTTGTGTGAATTCTTCCAGAAGTCCTTCATATAAATTTTCATATTCCTCCAAAGATGAATAAAAACAAATATTTGGATTTTTAGCATGTGTCTGTTTACATTCTTTACATATAAAACCATTTAAACAATCCCCTTCATTATGATTAATGATATTTTTATATGATGAACATCCAGCTGATTGACATGTATGCATGTTCGAACCTTTCGGTTTAACAGATGTATTTAATAAGGCATTTGATGAATCTGTGGCGACGCTAGTTAATGCGGTGGGAAATGAACTAGCCAAACCGCTAGTCAATGTACTAGCTATATTAACAGTTTTGTCAGAATTTACCAAGTTTACATATGGATAGAAGCATAATAATACAAAGACCTTTTTTTTTAAACCCCAAAACATTGTTAAGACGTGGAGAAATTGTCAAAAGCGTTAGAAGGGGAATCCACAAAATTCGATTCCCTGATTTACCCAAAGTTGCATTAAGTGTTAATGGGTTCAGAGAGGGAGTGTTCAGGGAAGTCAGGTGGAATGCTCATCATATGAATCGTGGCTAGTTGGGATAAAAAAAAAGAAAAAAAAAAAAAAAAAAAAAAAAAGGGAATCTTCGTTTCCAGCTGCATGTCTGCAAAAAAGAGGGTTCACAGAAATGCATGAATATGTTCATGTACATGTCCATGTCCATACAGGTGTGTATATATATATGCGTGAATCCGCATGTGCATATGTTCACTTCTTTACAAACACACACTCACTTCTTAGCTAGAAGCAACAGTACCCCATTGTACATAGGAAATTCTTCTTTAACAATATTCTTATACCACTCATGGCATTTCTATGAACACAATAATCTTCTTCAATCAAAGGAAGCATTTTTTATTTTATTTTTTTTTTTCACGCAAGAAATAACAGATATGTTTAAAAATTGTTCCACAGGATGTAAGGAACACTATGCGGTGTGCTATTGCGTTGTATCATACTAAGTGTGGAGATAAAAAAAAATTCGTGAAAAGTGGAAAAATCAGTGAAAAGTAGAAAACGTGTTAAATCAATGTGGAAATTTTAATCCTAACAACAGAACAAATCTAAGCAAGGATAAGGGGGAAAAAAAAAAAAAAAAAAAAAAAAAAAAAACAGCAGCAGCAGGAGAATTATGCTACAGATTATGCTGCTCAGCATCTAAACAGAAGATAAATATATGAACTGATGAGAAAAATGAATGGAATGGTTGAAACTGACGGATGCATATATGCAGGGGAAAAAAAAAAGGTATGTGCTGGTTTACGTGTATGTATATATATATATATATATATATACATGTATATATTAACATATATATGTACACACAATCGTGTAAATGCATGCACAATCGTGTAAATGCATGCACAATCATATAAAAGTATGTACAGTCATATAAAAGTATGCACAATCATATAAAAGTATGTACAGTCATATAAAAGTATGCACAATCATATAAAAGTATGGATAAAGACATGTCCATGCACATATGCGTAAACTCAGGGGTAAACGGAATGGATGTAGACGTATAATCAGAAACGTGTGCACCCATGCGCTAGTGTTGAGGTGTTAACAAAAGAAGGTATGATCAGAGGGATGTAACACTTCACATGTGCATGTGTACAGGTACTTGTGTATGCACATGTGTACGTATACATATGTGAATGTATGTATGCATATTATATACCCATATATGTTTTTTCCCCTTTTACCTGAACGTAAATGGAAAAAAAAAAAAAAAAAAAAAAAAAAAAATAGCCGCTCAATTCTGTGGCTATTTCACATAAGTAATACCATGCACCACTGATGCACCTGCATGGGAAGTAAAACTTCTGTGTTGAATATACTTGAAAATTTTTTTAATGTTTCTTTTCTCTGTAAAAAGGTTAAGTAAATTTTCAAGACGCTCATATTCATTTTGTAAATTGTTTCCTTTCCTTTTCTTTTTTTTTTTTTTTTTTTTTTTTTTTTTAAAACAGATCAAAGAAACGTTTTACATATATTTTATGCAACTAATTTATTTAATGTACACAAAATGAGAAAAGCTATTTTATAAAAAAACGCTCATAGGGAAAGTCTGTGGATTTTTTCTTTCAAGGTGGCATGGCGAAAGAAAAAAGGAAAAAAAAAAAAAAAAAAAAAGCATTTTAAATTCAACGTGAATATAGTAATGTTAAGGCAAAAAATTGGTAAGACGGGTATAAGGTAAGTAAATCCAATAGATAGAAAAAATGAAGAAGAAATGATGAAGAAATGATGAAGAAATGATGAAGAAATGATGAAGAAATATACACCTCGTACAGGTATTATGAGAACACGTGAAACAACGGATATGTGTGTATCGCATTAAAAAAGAAAAAAAAAAAAAAAGGGGAGATGGGGGGGAGGCAGTGGAGGTCATATAAAAACCATACTTACAATTAATTAAAACAAGCTAGCCGATAATAAAAACAAAACGTTTGAGAATTATATATGCACACATACATACACACATGCATGCATACATGAACACACACACACAAAATGAAGAGAGTACACAAGGGACCTTCCCAAAAGGAAAAGGTATGCGACACGTGTTGTTATTAATGAAATGCTAAATAAATTAACAAGCTTCAAACGTTTCGCATAAACTATAGAATACATAAGCACCCATGTGTATTCAACTGTGCCCACAAAAATTAGTTCAAAAGATGTACAACAGAAAAAGATAGAAAAAAAAAATATATATAAATAATTATCACAATAAGGAATGCAAAATGTGAAATAAAATAGAGTAAAATAAACCCACTTGAAAAAAATAAAATAGAGTAAAATAAACCCACTTGAAAAAAATAAAATAAGTAAAATAAATCCACTTGAAAAAAATAAAATAAGTAAAATAAACCCACTTGAAAAAAATAAAATAAGTAAAATAAATCCACTTAAAAAAAATAAAATAAATAAAATACGTGAAACAAAATAAAGTTAAGAATCCCCTCATTTCATTGGTTCTAGAGTAGTACGAGTTGTGCATACAGTTGTGCAAAGATACCATGTAAAAATAAAGAAAAAAAATGCACTAATATGTGTGCGCTTGATCATATGCATATAACATATAGATATATAATTAGATATATATATATATACATGTCCATATAAATAGACATGGAAAAAAACAGAAATATTTTGTTGAAAATGCAACATTTAATTATGTAACAACCAAGAATATTATTTTAAATTCTATGTTAAATTTTATTATTATATATTATTTTCTATCTTTTCCGTTTTATGTCTTGAATAAGACATCTGCGTTCATGTGCAGGTACATACACATATGTGCACCCCAACATGTATTCACCATTTCTATGAAAAACAGTTGCATAACTCTGTTTTAGAGGATTCTGGAATAACAAAAAAAAAAAAAAAGAAAAAAAAAAAGTATGTTCTCTTGTGGATAGACTATAATTGTACACTTTTGAAAATTCAACACTTTCTGCTTGATTTGGAACAGGAAATTAATCATAAAGAATTGGCTTCTATTTGTTGTACCACATGAAAATGAACCTCCCAGGGATGTTCATTTGTGTTTGTTCTTTACTTAAAAATAAAAGAAATAAAAGTGAAGTGAATAAGAGTGAGGGAAATAAATAAAAGGTAAGTGAAATGAATAAGAATGAGGGAAATAAATAAAAGGTAAGTGAAATAAATAAGCGTGAGAGAAATAAATAAAAGGTAAGTGAAATGAATAAGAGTGAGAGAAATAAATAAAAATAAAGTAACATCCAGCACAGTGTTGTAGGGTGTATTGCTACACTAGCACCGTGGCCTTGTAGTATAAAAAAAAAAAAAAAAAAAAAAAAATCGATAAATCTTGATAACAAACAATCTGGCTAAAACTTGAGAAACAAACAATGGTACCATTCAATACATCATTACTATACCTTCTGCTAGATTTACTAACAATCAAAATAAAACTCCTTTCAAATGTCAAAGTTACACACATATATGAACGTTCATAAAAAAGTGCGAAGGTTGCACATAATTTTACATGACCATGTCAGGTTAAAATTTTTTTAGCTTTTCATACAACTTTTCCCTCCAAAATTATGCATGTCCCTCCCCCCGATTACCCCGTGTCTTGTTCTTATTTTTTAAAATTCTTCTTTTCTTCCGCTGCTGGCACTAAACGGTGTTTCAAAGGGGAATGAAGAAAGCAACATTATTTTTGTTTATTTTTCGTACTTTTTTCGTTAATTTTTTGTTCATTTTTTGTTCATTTTTTGTTCATTTTTTGTTCATTTTTTGTTCATTTTTTGTTCATTTTTCGAGCTTTTTTTTTTTTTTTTTTTCTTACCTGTCAAGTCATAACAGTAGGACGTGTGAACCCTACTATTTGCTTCCGCTCCTTCCATTTTATTTTCTCGCCTTTTGTACTTAATGGTGTTCCTCCTGTTCCCTGAAATGTAAAGCAAACGGTGATTATCCAATTTTCCATGATTCATATCCTTCACGTTTGCCAAATGAGTTCTCACAATTTTATCGCCACACACTGTCACATGTTCACTTACAATTTTGTTTTCAAACTTCCTCTCTACCCTGTTTTCACCATTTTGTTCTTCATTCCTTGACATGGTATTTCTCCATGCTGCCTTTTTTTCCTTGGCATTCACATATTTATTATCATTCTTCTTCGAACAATACGATGTGCTGAATTTGTTGCTTTTTTTCGAGCAAGGCGAACTCTTCAAATTCCACTCCATTGTTCCATTATTGGACAAGCTGTCCTTCTTCCTTAGCTCATTTTTTACCTCTTTATAGTAAAAAAAATTTGAGTCTTTATTTATTTTTCCATCGCCTGCATGTTCATAATAATATTTCTCATTTGCATAAGCAGCTTTCATTACCTCTGCATGATTTGTTTTAAAGTTTTTCTTTGTTTGAAAATTCACTGGTTTTTTACTGTGCAAGACCTTTGATAAGTTATCATCGTGTTCCACCACACTTTCCGGATGTATGTCATTTCCCTTCTTCCTGTTGCATTTTCCATTTTGTTCACTCTTGCTTACTTCTCTCCCTTGGGTGCTTCCAACATTGGACACGCACTCCTTGCTATGCACACTGGGGTGTGATATCACTCCCTCCCAATTTTTCACTTGGTTTGGAATCAAAATTCCGTTGTTTGCATTTACCCCTGGGTTAATTGGTTCCTTTGGATAATTACTATAATCACAATGGTGGTCAAACTCGTCATGGCCACACTCGTCATGGCCATCCTTATAAAGACTCTCTTCTCTCGCTTGGGTTCCCTTCGAAGGAGGGCTTTTTTCAAAAGTTTGTTGGTTTGGGTAGTATTTCTTTCTACGCATGATGTCATAGTACACGATATTTCTGTAAAAGTTAACTTTGTACTTGGTACTGTCATCCACAGGAATGGTTATAATGTGCTTACACACAGGTTCATCAATAATGGAATGAAATTGTTCTACATATTTGTGTTTAAGTGCATTTTCTGCACTAATTCTTTTGGTTGGGTTAAATTGTAACAATTTTTGAAGCAAATCTATGGATTCTACTGAAGCTTTATGAAAAATATCAGAAATTTTTTTTTTTTTTATATCAACAAATGAAGATATAATGGTTTCTGCAAAAGGGGATTTAATATCTTCAATGTCTTTTTTTGTTGGTTTTCCAGTAATTTCAATAATTCTTTCTAATTGATTCATGGTAGAATTTCCTCTAAATAATGGCTTTCCGATTAGTAGCTCAGCCATGATACATCCAAGAGACCACATATCAACCCCTTCAGTGTAGTTAGTACTTCCCAATAAAATTTCAGGAGCTCTATACCACCTTGTAGCAACATAATCTGTTAGGACTGGTATTTTATTTTCATTTACTTCTGTAGATATACTTCTAGCTAATCCAAAATCACCAACTTTTATATGACATTCTGAATTGAGTAAAATATTTGATGGTTTAATATCCCGATGTAGTAAATATCCAGAGTGAATATACTTTAATGCTCTTAATAATTGATATATAATATATTTTTTATGTATTTCCTCCAGTAAATCTGCTCTTATCACTTCATGTAAATCAGTTTCCATATAATCGAACACTAGGTATATGTCATTATCATTTTTAGCTTTAATCACATCCATCAATTTAATAATGTTATCATGTCCATTTAGTTGATAAAGAAACATAATTTCACGAAATGTTCTTTGAGCATCTGTTGAATTCTGGAAAGCACCAAATATTTTTTTTACTGCTACCATTTTTTTATTCTTTTTACATTTAGCTTTGTACACTATACCATATGCTCCCTTTCCTATTTTTCGGACGATGTCATATTTTTTTAACACACTTTCGTCTACTTGTTCCTCTTTATTCTTTTGCTCATCCTTTGCCATCTCTCTGTTTGGGCGTTCAAATGGGCAATGGTAACTTCTATTTTTTATTCGCCTTTTTTTCCCCAGAGGGAGTTTTCACACAATTTTTCCTGCCCTCGCTCGCAGTAAGTGCAGCTTGGTGTGCATTCGTGCCTGCGTTTGTACCTACGTTCCTCTCTATGTTTAGATCTGTATGCGTTTATGTTTGTATGCATGTGAGAGGAAGGCATTTCGTTCCCCCAGACTTGTTCCAAATGAATAGATCCGCTTAACCAAGCTAGTTTAATGGGAGGCTTTTCAGGGGATGATCACTTGAAAACAAAAATATAAGATGGGCTTCACTCAAGTGAAAAAAAAAAAAAAAAACAGGAAAAAAAAAAAATAAAAATAAATAAAAAATAAATAAAAATAATAAAAAGACAAAATGTAACCATGGAAGTGAATTTCATCCACCTTTCCGCTACTCTCCTAAGCAAAAAAAAAAAAAAAAAAAAATAATAAAATAAAACAAAATAAATAACACGTTTCCTTTTAAAACAACAAAAAGTATTTATACTTCAGTCAAAAATGTACACATATGTTACACACTTTTGAGAGAACTATTAAATAAGACAATCTTATTATTTTTGCTCTCTATTTCTCAAATGTAAAAAAAAAAAAAAAGTTTTTTTTTTTTTTTTTTTTTTATATGTCCACACTACGATATTGTGCAGGTAGAAATATTTGGACAATTGCATTGATTGAGGACTGCTGTACAATGTCCAGATAGGAAAAACTGTAATACCAACATAAGCCTGTTTCGAATTGAAGAAGGATGTTTCTCACCCAAGTTTGTTTTAGCCATAAGAATGTAAATGTATCCCTCACGTGTTTCTTGCATTGTATCCACTACAACCACGTGCACATATGTATGAACAATTACATGTACATGTGCACGTGGATTTGCATGTATGCTCTTGGTCTATCTCTTTATTATTATTTTTCACCTAAATTTTTATTGGCATAATTACAAACCCCTTAACACGCGAAAATAAAAAAAAAAAAAAAAAAAAAGGCTTACATGCCAAAGGATGCATATTATGAAATTGAAAATAAAAGTATAATCTGATAAAGTAAGGTGGAGTAAAAAGATGATAACATTAACTACGTTGCTAATGCAGCTGACTTTTCCAGCGCTGTCAACTTTTCCAGTGCTGCCAACTTTTCCAGCGCTGCCAACTTTTCCAGTGCTGCCAACTTTTCCAGCGCTGCCAACTTTTCCAATGCTGCAAACTTTTCCAATGCTGCAAACTTTTCCAATGCTGTCAACTGTCCTAACGTTGCTGATTTGTGCATTCCGAATTGCACGTCAGTGGAGGGAGGAATGTCATCGTGGGTGAGGCGAAAGAATGTAAGTCTGCGATCCTATCGCCTCACCCCACGTAACATATCAATTGCTACAAAATACCATACATTGATATGGCGGCATGTATGAGTATACACACGACAAGGTGAAATGGGTCAAGAAAACATCACAGCCATTCTGTTATGTTTATTTTTCAAAATGTAAAGAGAAGTATTTTTTTTTTTTTTTTTTTTTTTTTTTTTTTTTGCTATTATATGTACATATCTCACCTTGATAATGATACATAATTACCTTACCTTACCATGCCTCTATTTTTTTTTTTTTTTTTTTTTTTCTTTTTCTCACCCTCTGAACACACATCGTAATAGTGCTGCCTGTTTAAAAATTCCCCTTCTCTAGTAACACAAACTTGTTGAAAGCAAAATATTTCACGATAAGAAAGCTCTTGCATTTTAATACCCATTCAACTCGAATATGTGTGTTCATATTCCTACCTTTATTTTTGCAGAACGAGTTTAGTTTTACCTGACCCAGTCAGACAAAAAATGGAAAAAGCCACAATAGCTATAAAAAAAAAAAAAAAAAAAAAAAAAAAAAAAAGTATACGAAATAGGCACAAAGTATGTACAAAATATGAATAACGTGCTTGTGATGTGAAAAATATGAACGAAGTATTTGCGGTGTACAAAATAGGCACAAAGTATTTGCGGTGTACAAAATATGAGCAAACTGTTTTTGTGATGACAAAATGTGAACAAAATATACCCCAGAAGGTACAAATAGCTAACTTACCACATTTAATGCGCGCAGAAAATTAAACACAACTGTAAAGAAGCGGAAATCAAAGAAAGAGAAGATTTGTCACAGTGGAGTGGAGGAAAAAAAAAAAAAAAAAAAAAAAAGAACAGATATGTTATGGGTACATTTCCATCATATACACACAACTACAGTACTTCAAGATATAAACATTTTTTACATGCGTAAAATTGACAATTTTATGAACATAATTTTATATTTTTGTGAGCGTTTTTGGGAACATGGACTTTTTTTTGACATTTTTTACCGTAAGAAAATGAGGTACTCTGTTTCAAGCCCCAAGTGTTTAAAAAAAGAATCAAAAGAAGACCATTTTTTGTGTAGTTTTTAACGTGTGAAAAAAAAAAAAAAAAAAATACAGCAGCATTATGTAAGCCTTTTTCTACATTTTGTGAACGTTCTGTTGTGATATTAATTTAATTTTGCACTTGGTAGTAGCAAAAGCGACTTTCCCCGAGATAGCATATTCACCAACAAGCTTTTTGTATGTGTGCACATCCGTGCCTTCACGACGTTGCTCTAGAGAGGAACGAAAAACAAAAAAAAAAAAAAAAAAAGCACAATCGTGTCAGCGTAAAACGTGCCAGCATAAACGTGCCAACATAAACGTGCCAACATAAACGTGCCAACATAAACGTGCCAACATAAACGTGCCAACATAAACGTGCATACATATACATGCGTAACACCCCGCAGGCTAGTTCTCTGCCAAGTGAACGAGAGATAACGAAATCACGCACCCCAGGCAGAGATTCGGCACCCTGGGTCCCCTCCCTCCCCCCTCTCCAAAAAAAAAAAAAAAAAATATCTGAACAAAATGATTAAAATGAGGAGGGAAACAAATTTCATGTTGAAATTGAGAAGATATGTAGGACAAACAAGGTACTTCAATAGTGGAAAGTGCATAATGGCTAATCGTAAGGATATCATATATCAGCACTTCTTGGTGAATAAACGACATTTAAGTATTCATGAATACTTATCAGTAGACTTACTTAAAAGTCATAAAATTCCATGTCCACAAGGGTATGCAGCTAATACACCAGAAGAGGCAGAAGAAAAAGCATTAGAGTTACAAAATCTTTGTGGAGACATTGATTTAGTAATTAAGGCACAGATACTTAGTGGAGGAAGAGGTGTTGGTATTTTTAAAGAAAATAATTTTGAAGGTGGTGTACATATTTGTAGAAATAGTATGGAAGTTAAAGAAGTAGCTTCTAAGATGTTAAATAATACACTAGTTACAAAACAAACTGGTAAGGATGGGAAGATATGTAATACTGTTTTTATATGTGAACGGTTTTATATAAGAAAAGAAAGATACATTGCATTTTTATTGGATAGGAGTTCTGATGGAGTATTGCTACTTGGATCTACTGTTGGGGGTACTTCTATAGAAGAGATAAGTAAAAAAAATCCGGATTCTGTGCATAAATTGAATATAGATGTACAGAATGGATTGAAACATGGACAATCACGTGAATTCTGTGAAAAAATTGGTTTTAAAAATACAGAATTGGATATAGCGACAGATATAATTACAAATTTATATAAAATTTTTAAAAAATATGATTGTACATTACTTGAAATCAATCCTTTTTCTGAAACAAATGATGGAAGAGTTCTCTGTTGTGATGCTAAATTAAATTTCGATGATAATTCTGAATATAGACAAAAAGAAATTTTTCAGAAAAGAGATTTGTCTCAAGAAAATCCAGAAGAAATACAAGCCAAAAAATTTAATTTGAATTATGTTTCTCTAGATGGAAATATTGCATGTATGGTAAATGGAGCTGGTTTAGCAATGGCAACTTTAGATTTGATAGCATTACATAATGGATCTCCCTCCAATTTTCTAGATGTGGGAGGTAGTGCAACAGAACAAGAAATTTGTGAAGCCTTAAAAATTATTAATAATAATCCAAAGGCTAAAGTGTGCTTTATAAATATATTAGGTGGTATCATGAGATGTGACATTATTGCAAAAGGGATAATTAATGCAACCAAGCAGATAAATTTTACCAAGCCACTTATAGTTCGGTTAGAAGGAACTAACGAAAAAGTGGCTCAACAACTTATCCATGAATCAAACATTAAATGCGTCTTCTGTCAAGATATGAATCTTGCAGCACAAAAAAGTATAGCTATGGCTAATATAATAGAAATAGCAAATAATTCAGGGTTAAACATTGCCTTTAAGTGAGGAAATTTTTTTTTTTTTTTTTTTCTTTTTTGTGCAAAAATTATGACAATTCTCCATTTTTCGATTTTGTTCACTTTTTCTAACATAAAATATGCATAATACACGAGTGCGTGTCTAGTATATATGCCCATAGAAAAATATATTTGCTACATGAATGAACATGCATAATGCAATGTAAAAGGGTTTAGCTGCTTAAAAACTTAGCTATTTAAAATCCAATGAGGAATGAAGTTACTGCCTTTGCACTGGTTTATCAACAACGTGGTGCTATTAGCCTCGCCCATTCGGCTTAACCCATTTGAGCCTCTACCCAATTACCTACGCTCACGGATATGTATTATGTATATATATATATATATATATATATATTTATACATATGTATATGTAAATGTACATCTGTTAATGGTTACATCATTATATGTGTTAAACCGGGTGAATGGTAAATTCGTATAATCATACTGCAATGCACGTAGGGGAGAATAAATAAACAGTTGACGTGAATTCCACGTGCAAATTTTGATCGGAATTTTTTTTTTTTAAATAAAAAGGAAAAAAAAAAACAAAAATATATCAGTGCAGGGAGAAAGGAATTCGTATATACAATATTAGATACATTTATTTATCTATGAAAGTGTGTTTTTTTTTTTTTTTTTTTTATATATCTTCCCATTTTCATTCTTTATTTTTTTATAATTCTTACTTTCAATTTTTTAAACGACATATAAAATCATCTACCCCACTGCATTTTAATAGATACAATATAATGTCACAGTGTTGGTGGATGAAAAATATGCAACAGTTGCATAATCATTTATATCATGGTGCATTAAAAGGACGAAAAAAATTTCCATACTCACTTCCCATCGGAAATCATCTCAAAAAAAAAAAAAAAAAAATACCCTTGTGCCACCAATGCGTGAAAAGATAGGGGATATATATGTGAAGCTAAAAAAAAAAAAAAAAAAAAAAAAAAAAATCATACATGTGCTGGCCCTATAGATACAGTACAATATATACACATTAAATATATATGTTTCCATTGAGAATAAATTTATGAGCAGTGGTAAGAAGTAGTGTACGAGATAGTGTGAGGACAAGAGAGAAATGTATATTATATCATATATATTATTCGAATATATTTGTAAGCTGAATTTTTCTTTTCTTTCTTTTTCCCTTGCGGTATATTTTTTCTTTTAACATATTTTTGTATAAATAAAATTATTCCTTGTGGGGGAAAATAATATTCTCATAGGAAAAACAAAACGTTTCTTTTTTATTTTATTTTATTTTTTTTTTTGTGGTATTTTTCATCTTATTTTCCTTTTCCATTTAAATTCTTTTAATAGTAATTTCTGCCCGCTTATACTGTCGTACGAAAAATTCCACACCCCTCCTGAACACAAATAGTACGAGCGCAAAAAAAAAAAAAAAAAAAAAAAAAAACAAAAAAAGCAGAAAAAAATTTATACGCATTTAGAAGCAGAAGCCTCTAAAACAACAAAAATCCAAACTGAAAAAAAAAAAAAAAAAAAAAAAACTCGTATATGTATATATATATATATATATATATATATATTTATATGATTTTATTTTACTTTTTTTTCTTCCCATTGGTGATTTCATTTTTTAATTCAAGTTATTTTATTTATTTATTTTTATTTTTTTACTAGATCGTTGGCTCCTTAGGTCTCACACCTGTGCTGAGCACTCGTTTGGGGAATTTTTATTTTCCGCAATTTTTTATGTTGTTTTATCAGATTTTCGCCACTTTCGCTACTTTTGCCACGTTCTCTACTTTTTCCATTTTTGCCATTTGTGCCACTTTTTTTGACTGTATGCTAAAATGCCGCGTGTCGAACTGACAGAAGAAGAAAGACTGAACATCCAAAAAAAGGATTTACTCTTCAAAAGGTTTGTTGAGCCCGGAAGGTTATGCCTGATTGAATATGGCCCATATGCAGGAAAGGTATAAAACAAATTGGAACCATGGATGAACCTGTAGTACAGTTTACATCGTCGTCTGGTTTATATCTCTCCATGTCGATGTTGCATTGTTAACCAGTCAGCCGAAGAACACTTATTATACTGATCTTGTACTGCCCACCGTGTTTTTTCGGCTACCTTTTTCTGATCATTTTTTCTGATCGCTTTTTCTGATTAATTTTTATTTTTGACATTTTTTCTAACCTTGCCCCTACCTCTTTTTTCCCCTCCCCAATAGCTATGTTTCGTTGTGGATATAGTGACACTGACCCGAGTTATCGTTGATGGAGCCTTTGTGACAGGGTAAATAAAAAAAATAAATACATGAACAATAAGAATTTTTTTATAGTGTTCAGGCGAATGCATGTGTACAATCAGATATACTTCTTGAACAATTGTATGTTGAGAAGATAGTTGCACATTATCATCACATTGTAGAGGTTGGAAATGGTTTAAATTTACACACGCAAAAAAAAAAAAAAAAAAAAAAAAAAAGGATACGCCATTTGCTTATATATCTTTCTGCTTGCATTTTCATTATTCTTTTGAGGCATAAAAGTATGAGTGACTTGACCAGAAGTGGTAGATACATAACCTTAAAGTGTTGATACAAAAAAAGGGAGAAGCAACCGCATGCTACAACGATTGGTTATTATCAGTCAGTCTGTGTGTGTGTGTGTACATCCTTCGTATCGACTCAGGAACACACACACAACCGAATATCTACATGTTGTGTTTCGAACACTTACAAACATGGATATCAATTCGATTAGTGTGTGAACTGTTGTTAGACATCTTGCTGTGCCAACACGATTTACATTTTTCTTCTTCACTCTGCCACCACAGCGTGCCAAGGATGATCATACCCCTGAAGAGGTTGAAACTACTGAAGGAAAGAATAAAAATAAATAAAAACTGCAAAAGTGGATTTTTGAGAAAGACAATTAAAAGCACGAAAATCCTGGAAGAGTTTAAGAAATCCAACTTGGGGAAAAAAATGATATTTAAGAAGAAGAGAGATATGGCAACTGATTATGAGCGATTTCAGATATACCATGCCAAGAGAGAATTAAAAAAAAAAATGAACGTATTAAAAAGCAAAAAAGATAGTATGAACAAAAAGGATAATAAGGGTGACAAGAAAAAGAAGGCCAAGAAGGTTAAGAAAGTAGCCGCGAAGAAATAAACGTCAAACAATGCTAGTTTTTTTTTTGGAGGGTGTGTGTGGGGGGAATATTAGTACATACTGAATAAGCGTGAAAAGTTAATTGCACCCCTTCCCCATCTGGACATGACTCAGCAATCAATCCTTCTACATGCACGCAATATGGAAGTGGTGTTATTGCAAATTATTCTTTTTATATATATATATATATATATATATATAAAATGATTTTTTACCATTCCTCTTTTTTAAACGAGAGAAAATATATATATATATATGTATATATATGGAGGGAGAGAGATAGACAAATAGGTATGTATATACATATGCATGCTGACATATGTATGTTGTGCGTATGCATATATATTTATACACATCAACAATTGTTTGAATTATTTCCCTCGACTTATCGCTGAAAAATTTTAATATATTTTTATCCAATATCTCAACCTGCGTAATATGCTGGAGAAACCAATGAAAAAAGAAAAAAAAAAAAATGTGAGAACACCTCCCCCCCACCCTCAATGTCTCTCATGCACACACACATTATAACAAAATTAGCACACCATAAATCCACGGTTTTATAACATTTGAAGATGAAAAGATAAATTAACACACATGGTGTTGCTTTTTTTTTTTTTTTTTTTTTTTTTTCCAACTAGCTATATTTTGCACCGAATGGTATAAAAATTACTACTTTAACTTTTCCTTTTGTTCACATTTTGCATAAGCAATTTTGAGGAATAATTTTCTACCTTTTCACTTAACCCACTACTGGAGGAATTACATATGATGTCACATTTTTTCATCTGGTTTTCGAAAATTTCATTCTATGTTATTGCATTCAGTAGAGTAATACCATTTCGATCACCTATACTTACCGTTGTAATGTCCTGACAGTGTAGTAAAAAATGCCTGAACAGTTCAGGTAAATATGAGACCGTTGTTTAAAAAATTTCGCGAATCAGTTTTGAGGTGAAGATTAAAGTTACAAGTGCATAACCTGATTACTCGTTTTATTTCAATGTATGTTTCACTCACTATATAATGCGTGCCGAGCTTACACAGAAAATGCAAATTCGACACAAAATGAGGGAAGAAAAAAACGCAGCGGCAAATAAAATAACATAAAATGTCAAAAAAATATATTAACATATGTGAGTAAAAAATGCAAGCGGCATCATGTGCTAATAACTATGCAAGCTTTTGCATTTATCCATTAAGCATATATGTTCAATTCACAATTAAATGTTCGCGTCCAAGGAGATCAATCCAAACCCTTTTTTTAACATGAACATGAGAACGAGCACAAACCACAAACACTTAAAATGTTCCTTTTCCCATCCCGTCCCCTTCACATTTGCACTCAGTATGGTAGCACGAAATTCACAGAATTAGGAAAAATAAAAGCAAAATTAAAAATCAATGGAGAGTAACAAGGGATAAACTGAAGTCCCTCCTTCCTCCACCACACCCCCCATTGGACGTGCGAACGATGGACATTGCACAAACTGAGAATCATATTTATAATGATATGGATATTGATGTTTTATTTTATTTTATTTTTTTTTTTCTTCTAATCATTGTTACATGTACTGAACACATTTCGTGACCAAGCAAAGCAAACCATTTTTGCTATAAAAAAAAAAAAAAAAAAAAAAAAAAAAAGCCACATGAGTGAGGCATTATCAAATAGACATTTCGTTGTTAACATGTACATGTACACGTACACACATATTCATATGTATATCTATGAACAGTACAAAGTTTAACAATGCTCAAAAGTGCTTAACCACTATTAACAATGTTTAATATAATGCTTAATAAGGCTACCACCAGCTTAGACGGGGTAAGAGATATGAGTTCATGTCACTGTGGGCTTGTCACAATTGGATGGAAAAAAAAAAAAAAAAAAAAAAAAAAAAGTTGATCAGTTGAACAGTGAGATAAGGAGTTTAAAAGTAAGTGTATATATGCCTTTCTTTTCTGAATTCAATATTTGTTACACACACCTTTCTACTTTTTTTCTGGATAAATATAAGAAAAAAAATAAATAAATCTACAAAATTTTCATAATATCCATAATATCAAAAATTTCCAAAATTATAATAAACTTCTTTAAGTAGAAATAACACCTTGCTTAAGTGTTTTTACACACCAAAAAGGAATATGAAATGAAATTAAAATACCCACTTGGTAAGAAATAATAATTAGGTACGCTGTTTAATGATATGTCTGAATATGTGCATATATATAGTCATTATGCCTTAGCCGTTACTTTTTTTTTATTTATTTCATATTTATTTTTTAGCCCTTTATTTTTTTTTTTACTATGTATTTTATATCATTTTTGAAAATGTTTTGCATAAACATATTTGAAATTACAAATAAGTTGATATAAAGTGGTTATTTTTACACATTGGTTCTAGAAAAATAAAAGAA